AGAGTTTTTCTTTTTGTTAAGTTTCAATAAGAATAGAGAAAAGAAAATATAAGTCAATCATTTCTTGCTCACCCAATAACCAGCCGGTTTGAGAATTATTCAAAAAATGCACACCTCTCTTTTATAATATAAATAAAAAAGACTTTTAAAAATGCTTTCTTTTCTTTTCAATCAATTTTTGAACAAACATATAACTCCTTTTGCTGACGGTGCCGTAATATGACGTCGATTTTTTATTACTACTGTATTGGCGGCGGCAGTAGTCGTCGGTGGCTGTTCATCATCAAGCGACATTTTTTCTTTTAATCTAAAGAATATCACTAACAATATATATTTACAAATATGTATGTTTTTTGCACGAATAAAATTTAAATAAAACAAAAATTTATTGTCTTTTCGGTCTGTTTTGTTTTAAATATCTTTCTACATAATATACACTTTTTCAGCTTGGGTTAAATCATATGTTTCTTTTGTACGAGGACAAATAACTTTGCCATTATTTACAGCAGCCATTGCTTGAAGAGTCTAAAAATATATATTTATTGTTGTTGAAAATTTAATGAAAATAAATTACTTTCGATCCATAAACATAACCATTAGGTAACATTAATGGTGGGTTACTTTCATTAATTGGTTCGCGTGATTGTGCACAGATTAATTTTGATACGGAACAATGAGCATATGGTAAAACTTTAGCAATTGTTTTTAAATGAACATTACATACAGGACAATTAGGATTTTTTACAGATGATACTTTATCAAAACATGTTCTTAATTTTAAAAAAGAAAATTTTTATATAAAATTCAGGGAAAAAAATTGATTTCTTACGGTGTTTTTAAAGCTGATAAACCACTTTGTAAAACAGCTGTAAATTTACTTTGTTGACCCATTTGATTTAATTTAAACATATCAAGACGAAATTGTTCAATTAATTTTGTCCATCGATTTTCATCAAGTAATGTCTTTTAATACATTTTAAAACTAAATTAATAACTATATATATATATTCACTTACTTGATATTCATTGTTTAATTCTTTTTTTGATCGTTGTGATAGAACAAGTAAACCCATAGCTGATTGAAATTCAATTAAATGCTGTTCTGGTACAGGACCATTTAAATATTTACGTGCATGAGATATTGCTTCGGAAGAACGATTATTGCGGACAAGTTCAATAAATTCTTGTAAATGAATACAAAAATCAAGTGTACTCTATATAATAAATAGATAAAAATATTAAAGATAGATGAACAGGAAAAATTACGAACACCATTTTTCTTTAATTTTGTTTTATTTTCATTAAACCAAGCTAAACATTTGGATACATCACGATGCATTAATGATTCTTCAATTTCACGTCCAGCCAAATAAATTTCAGAATTGACTAAATGCTGACAGATACATCATTTAGTAATTAAGTTAATAAAATATTTAATATATTCTTTTTTTTAATCATAGAATTTACATAGATAAACGTTTATTTTGTTAGAAGAAAATCTGTCAAATTATCTTTTATCAGATTATGTCACTTAATGAATATTTATCAACAGTCTTCTCTGTGTTAACATGAATAAGATATGTGCTGTTATCAAGAGACATTTTATATTTAGCAAAATGTAGATATAATGTGTACTAAAAATAAGTGATATATGTTATTTAAACAAACCTCAATTCCTGTTGCTTTGGCAAGTGCTTGGGCAGTTTCGAAACATCGTGTTCGAAAGAGAAAATCAACAAGAATACGTTCATATCGTTGTCGTCGCCATATTTCCATTTTCGATAATGAACTTTTATCATAGTCTTTTAAATGATCAACACGTCGTTTAACAGCTTGTAAACATTCAATTTCATCATCGCGTAATTCTCGAGCCTAAGATTAAATAAAAATTAAATAACCGATTTTTAGAGATACAATAAAAATCTACTTTTCGTTTAAGTGTTATAGCTCGTTCAAGTACTCGTTTAAGAGTATCGATTGTAGCTGTTGATTGTGTCGATCGATCCAATTCAGCAACAGTTGCAAGTAATTGAGCTGAATCACGATCAATCTGTTTTTGTGCATGACGATATCGTTTATTTAATGTTTCATAGGGTACCTATTTCATTAAGAAAGTTTCAAAAAAATAAATTAGACAAGAATTGAAAATTTATATTTACTTTAACAGTTGCATGTTCCAATACGCGAACATCGTCCAACGTTACATTGAACATAATTGTATAATAAGATGAATATTTTTGTCTACAAAACTAACATGCAACAATATATTTTGCTAAAGTTTGAAATTAAATTTCAAATGAGAAAAAAAGATTTATACTCAGATATATTATTAATATTATTTTTTTTTTCTTTCCAAAAATGTTTGGTGAATACATAGTTTTTATTATGTGTGCGTGTATTTATAGAAAGGACAAAACTATTGATCCAAGTTAAACAAGGAAAAAAAGAAGAACACAGACAATTACTTTCAAAGTCGAAACAAATAAGTATTTTGAATAAATCAACAGAAAAAGAAAGAGACACATCACAAAACATGTATATATATTCCACGCACACACGCATATGTAGATCAGTGTGGAATGAGAAAGAAAACTACAGACAACCATACAGAAGTACACTACAATAGTAGAATGAAATGTACAATACAAGAAAAGAAAGCAAACAAACAAAAAGAATTAGTAGATTAATGCATTGAATCACCACCTGTTGATTCTCCGCCGTTATTATTACCTAGTGAAGCAGCTGCAGCTTTAGCTGCTGCTTGTAATGCTGACTCACCAATACTAACAGGCACTACAACAGGTGAACTGCTACCAGCAGCGGAAAGTAATGATGGTGTACTACTACTTGATGTTGCATTTGCTGTTGATGAACTTGTTGATTGTTGTTGAAGTGATGTTGGTAAGACTGGTGGTGGTATTGATCCTACACTTGATGCATCACCTAAGAGATATCCGGGTGATGATAGAAATGGTGCTGCTAATGGAATTAATGAAGAAAGTGATGATCCATTAAGACCACTATCATAAGCTGAACCTAGAATAGAAATAAATAAATTAAAATAATAATTTTTCCTATCAGTTTTTTTAACATACGTGGTACATTAAGATAATCTCGATTAACACAATATCGAAGTGAACCAGGCAATTTTCCGGATAAACCACGACGTATTTCATGTGCTGCATTCTCTCGTATTTCTTGTGAACTAGCTTCACTATACCATGATGTTCGTGGTGTACATATTAAATTTACAGCATCTTTCAATGGACCTACACAAGGAGAGAAATTAGAATATATAATTAGATAAAAAAATTAGAAAAAAAGAAAATTCTAACCAGCAGCTAAATTATATGGTTCGTTTTCTAGTACATCTAATGCAGCTCCACGAATTCGACCATCTTTTAAAGCAATAGCCAATGCAGATTCATCAATAAGACCACCACGTGATACATTAACAAGAAATGCACCAGGTCTCATTTGTTTTATTGTAAAATCATTAATTAAATGATGATTATGTTCATTAAGTGAGCAATGAAGTGTAACACAATCAGAACGATAAAGTAAATCTTGTAATGTAAATATTCGAGTGATACCTAGCATAGAGAAAATCAATTATAGTAAATATTAAAACTGTTAGTTATCAATACCTAAAACTTTATCAATTCCATCAGATAGATAAGGATCAAAAAAGACAACATTGAAACCAAACACTTTTGCTCTTAAAGCAACAGCCATACCAACTTGTCCAAGTCCAACAATACCTAATGTTTCATTTCGTATACGTGCACAACCCGATGCAACTTCACGAATTTGTTCCGGTGTTGATACACGTTTACCTTCTTTAACTGCTTGAGCTAACCATGCTGTACGACGATATAAATTTAATATCATACTTAATGTTGTATCAGCCATTTCTTCTACAGATTGTGATGGAATATTTGCTACGGCAATACCTTGTTCACCAGCTGCTTTTATATCAATATTATCATAAGCTGCACCAATACGTACAATTAATTTTAAAGCTTTAAATTTGACTAAATCTTCTTTTTTCAATGTTATTGCATGCCAAACTAAAGCTGCTGTTGCTTCATTTAGAACTTTTTCATGAATTTCAGTTGTTGATTGGGCATCGCAAAAAGCTACAGTTGCCATATCTTTTAAGATTGGCATTTCAATTGAACAATCACGACCATCAAGTAATGCAACAAGTGGACGAGCGCCTGAGCTACTAGGTCCATTTGCTAATGGCATTCGAGATGGTATAGCTAAAAGATAGACAAAAAAAATTGAATTCGATTTTGAATCTGATATGCAATTGAAACAAACCCGAAAGCAGACTGTTCGAGTCAATGCGTGGCTTTTTGGCGTTGCTGCCCCCTGAACTAGACATTCGACATTCGAATGAACAATCTTAAAAATGAAAATAATATTTGAAAAAAAAATTAATTGAATGAATGAATGAACGGATGACAGCAGATGATGGTGATGATGATGATGATGATGGAAACAAAGATAGAGCAAATAAACAAAATAGCAGCCATTCATAACAAATTTTTAATTGACGATTTAATCAATGGAGGAAATTCGAACAAATGAATAGATGGCGTTTTTTTAAATTGATATATAAGATGTATTTCTTACAGTTCTTATCAATTTTTAATTAATAAATTTCTTATATTATGTTTTCTTATTTGTTTGTTTTTGAATTTAAACGATAGATGGCGATGATAGTACAGTAACTATATGAACGAGATTTTTTGCGATGTATGTAAAATAAATTTAATCAAAGTGCTCCTTTCATTGACGTACATTTAGTGATTAAATATTCATTGAATTTGTCATGTAAGCTATTAAATATATTGATTATAAATTTCTGTCTGTACAAATAAGACTTGAACTTGGAACACTTCTTGGCTTTCAAAGCAAAAGATTCGTATAAGAAACTTTGCCACTCGGATTTAGATTGTATCATCTGCGATGTAATAACAATCTGATTGTCGAAAATTATAATTGATGGACATACATCTGAATATAATAATGACTTTTGAAAAAGTCTTTATTTCGATATGTTAATGAAATTCGACAATCATACATTCATTGTATATAATCTTAATGTTTCTTTTTAAACATTCGATTGTTCGACTATCCAATTTTATGGTTAGATTCATATCAGAAAAGAAGTATTCGACATTATAATTTACTTTTGATATAAAATCAAGATATTAAATGTGTCTGCACGTCTCATCTATTGATAAGACGTATGTAAAATTAACATGTTGAATACATTATTTGTAAAAGTGAAGAAAAAAAACTATTTCATTAATAGTCTATTAATTGAAGATTTTTTAAATGACACTTAAAATTATTAAAGTGAGTTCTTATATCATAAAAGAAGTAGTGTAACGGAAATTATAGCTTGAGAAATATATTTGATGTACAATGGAATGAATTTTCATCTTTATGCATTCTATTTTATCAATCTTCTTAATGTATTAATGTTACATGAGTATGATTAAAAGAACCAAGTAGTATGAATATGTTAGTGTTTTTCTTCTTTAGTTGATTAATAGTTTATTAGAAGAAAAACCGCTTATCGAGATTATAAAGAAGAGTTATACTGAGATCACAATAATTATGTTAAATATGCTTTCGAAAGATAAAATAAGAGTTATCGATAATAACACTTGGCTTTGTTTCGACTTTAAATGTTATTCAATAGGATTAAGACACGTTTTCTTCATCCGTTCGATATTCATGTTCGTTGCTAATACAATTAGTTTATTGTTCTTATTTACTTTTTTCTTTAACAATAGAAATTATATGTTGAAGTTCATCAAGTATGTTTTTTTTTGTAAAGAAAGCAATGCTAATCAAATATAAATTCTGTGCTCTTCTATATGATGCAGAATAAGGTCACTTATTGCATAATCATTATGAACTAATATGTTCTATTGGAGAGTATTTTTTTTATGAAAAGAATATTTTTAGTTTTAAATTTTAATAAATAAAATGACTCAATAACAACAAAATTTAATAATTATTTTATATCGTATAACTTTTTAATGTTTAGTTTCAAAATAAAGTTGTTCTTCTAGTCGACTAAATGCTGTTCCATTTGGATATAAAACATCATGAAACCACATTTTTGGCATTGGTGCATTTGGAGGTGATTTCCATTGATAATATGTTTGAGATCGACCAGCAACAAGTCCCCAGTGTATTGCACCTACTTTTTCACTTTGAAAAAAATCTAGATGTGTAAATAATGTTGATCCAAATGTACGTGCAAGCCATTCTGTACAAAGAATTGGTCGGCCTAATTGAACTTGTCGTAGATCACTAACATTTTTCATCACATTCGCTAATGGTCCATATGAATGAAAAGAAATGATGTCCGAAGCAGCTAATTCAAATAATGCTAATGGTGCCGTCAATGGCCATTTAGCTATACCAATAGTCATTGGTTGTTCAACATTATTAACTGATCGAGCTGCTTTGTATATATAACGAAGTAATGGTAAAATAACCTTTATTTGTTTACTACATTCAGGTTCATTATATAAATCCCATGCAAAAATACGTTTATCAGATTTATAACGACTAATAACATCTATCGTATATCTAAATTTATCTCGTTATAGAAAAAAAATATGTATATGTATATATATTTAACATACTGAGCAATTTTTGGCCAACTTGTTTTATCTAGCACCATTGTTTGACCAGGACATCGAACCCATTGTGAATTGTGTACACCTGGAGTAGGTTCTGGTTGTTTACCTAATTGTGGTTCAGCATTCCAACATTCATCAAATAGAACAAGCATAATTTTTAAATTATTATCTTTTGCAATATTAAGAAATGTATCTAAACGTTTATAAAATTTTTCGGAATTTTCTATCCATACAAGTATATGAAGAAAAACTCGTAATGAATTCATTCGTAATCGTTTATTTGCCCATTCAAGTTCACGTTTAATTGTTACTTCATCAAATGTATCTTGCCACATTTCTAATACATTAACAGCAGTTGATGGTACATAATTAGCACCAAGAAACCATGGTTGAGAAGCGTACCATTCTTGTGCACGTGATACTGACCAACGGATTCTCTAAGTATAACAATCAGAATATTAAAAAAGAAAAGAAAATATATTTTTCTTTACCGATGCTTCTGTGTTTATTTCTGCAGCAATTGCATTAGTTACATCACTATCAGCATGTTTATCTGGATGTCGAAGAAGAATTACTACGAGTAAAGTGACACTACCAATTAAAACCGCCAGCCATTTAAAAGCATTTCCCTATTACATTTACAATACAAATATTTAAAACATATAGAATATGACGTAATTTTTTTTTCTTTCTACCTACCCGTATTTTGACAGCAGGCATGTGTATATCACATATCTCGGAGATTTTATAGCCTGTCATGCGTAACAACAAGCGTCTACCTATTTTTTTTACTGTATATCGAACGTTAAAAACGCGCTCATTTTTTAGCTTTACATGCTATTGTGAAAAAGAAAAAGAAATGAAACGTATAAGAAAAAGAAAGAATATTTTTCTATGCAAGTTCACAATAATACACGTCGCTGTTTTCAATGTCTGCCATTCTCTTACCAGTATTTCTCTTTTCATCTATATTGACACTTCAGACAAGCACCAAAAAAAATTGAGAGAAAAGAAAAAAAAGTCTATGTTTTACATTTATTTTAAAATGATATCTTATTTCTTTTTCTTATTAACTAATTGTAATTATCCAAGTAGATTTTGTTTTTATTGTAAAAAAAGAACTTAACAAAAAAAATAAAAAATGTATATATACAATTTAATACACTGTTGGAATGGGACGTTTAATAAAATCTTTCCATTTTTGTTTAAGAGAAATTTTAAGATTTTCATATCGTTCTTCTTTTGAATAAATATGTATCGGAGGTAAACGAGAAGCTGCCAAGGAATAAGAAGGAATAGTCTATAAAAAAAATATTTTGTGTTTTATACTACATATTATCAATTTTAAACTTACAGTAGGATATGAAGACAATGTTTCCTGTAAGTTATCGACTACATTTACAAAAATTTCCATCGGAGAAATTGTTTCATTATCATCATCGAGCATCCTATTTTAATAAATATATAGTTTTTATTTCTGATAAATAAAAAAATGAAATTTATTGGATGCGGGTACGTGCATGGATAAAAGGTATTTTACTATATAAATATTTAATAGCTGCACTTACACTTTAGTAATGATTTCAATGTGGATTGCCTACTGATATTTATCGAGAAAAAGAAATAAAGTTACTTGCTTTGTTCTCATATATTGTTAAGAAGAAAAAAGAACTATTTTTAAATAAACAAATTTATACCTTGGTGAGCCTATGGCATCATTTGATTGAACTTCGATTGCTTCCTGTGGAGTTATTCGTACTATATCATTGGTAGTTGGACCAGCAATGTTCTATAATAAATTTAAGAATTCTTTTGAAATATATAAGTGTTCTTGAATATATTTCAAAAGTGACAAAAAAAACAATTATATAATTGATTAAAGAAGACGTGAAAAGAATATCGTTTATCATAAATAAAAGATTTTTTGTTTTCTTTTGTTTAAATATTTATACTCAAAGGTATACTTAAAAAAATTAGATTTTACAGAATATAGATCTATTTAAATAAAAGAAAAATAAATAACATACATAACGTGTTAATGGTATGATATGTATTTTTGAATCTTCACCCATTTGTGCATGCCATTGTTTAAGGCGATCTTCAATTTTTCCAACACGAATATTATCATTGACAACATATTGTATTGTAGCTGGATTTGTAAAGGATGCATGTCGAGCTGAACGTGGTATTGGTTGACTATTATTTATAGTTGTCATCGAACGTTCTTTACCAGCTGTTTGTGGTACTGTTGTTGTACCTGCTCGACGTGTTTGCTAAATATAATATAATCATTAATAATAGAGAGAAAAATAAATAGATCAAACCGAATTAGATGCATTATTTAAATGTAGAAGCCATGATTGTTTATTATGATACTGTTGTCTTTCATCATTTGTTTTTGGTGCTAATTTCTTTTTTATTAAGGCATTAAATAATGGTGATTGAATAATACGTGATGAATATGCTTGTAATGAGAGAAGTACCATTTCACGTAAACGTTCAACAAAAACTTGTGTACTATAACGTTTTTGTAAACGGGCAAAGTTATGTTTTAATATATAAAATAGATCACATGGTGCTGTACATCGAGCTGAATTCATATATGTAGTTAAATCACATACATAACATTCAAGACCAATAATATCTCCGGCACCTAATAAAGCCAATTGTAATATTCGTTGAGAACGTTCATTTTCAGCTTGAGCAAATGTCATATTACGTCGTTTTATAGCAAAACTTTTTCGATGATCATTTGTATTTATATCCGATGGTATATGAACATTTGATGGTTGAGATGGTTGAAGCATTGGTGAAAATAATTCAAGAGCACGTCTATTATTATTATTCAATGGAATGAATTAAAAGGAAAATAAAAAAGATGTGCTTTACTGTTTCATTGGATCGGATTGTGGAAGAAGATATGGATATTGTAGCCAATGTAATAATGGATCTGTACTTAATTTAACTTCACCACTAAAATTAAGCAAATATTATTTATTTAAAATAATAATCGAACTTCTATTTTACCTCCAAATAAAATAGACAGCATCAGCACGTAAACCTTGTTTATAAAGTACACTATCATAAGAATATCTACCTCGTTCTAAACTAAGACTAACAAGACGTTTGAGTCTTGCTGACCATGAAGAAAATAATGGACAACGATTAATAAATTCCATTTTTTCTTGTAATTCTTTTTCATGCGCTGCTTTAAGTGTTCTTTTATTTCGATAACGAAACCGTATTACAATAAAATAAATAAAAATTAAAGGCTTTTACATACCGACTAAAGACTTCTCGATCAACAACTAGTAAATCAGCAGGAGTAACTGTTATAACTGTGGCACTACGAGGTTCATTTGTTACAAGTGCACGTTCACCAAAATCAAAACCACCACCTAAATATAATATTTTATTTAGATATTTAAAACAAAACGATATTTAATTTAATCATAAGAAAATAATCATAATTTATTTTTCAAGCAAATCATATATTTTTCTTACGTTGTCTATAAGCAAGACCATTTCCTTCTGAATTTATATTATTTATGTATATATATACATGAAGTAGAATAATAAAATAATACTTGATATTTTCTCTTACCTAAAGTAACAACATAGTTACCAAATATATCAACTATAATTTCTTCACGTTTCTCAGGCTCGGCATCGAGTTTTGCAAACTCTATTACAGTATCAAATTCAGGTGAAACTGGTCTAGCACCTTCTTCATCCAAACGATAGATTTTTACTGAGCCTTGTAATATAATGTAAAATCTAATATAAAGATAATTAATATTAAAAATATCTCAAATTATCTTACGTATCTCCAGGATCTCCTTGTAAAATAACAACATCCCATGCTGGACGTCGTTCTATCATAATTGTTTTACATATATCATGAATAACATCTTAAAGAAGAAATCATATGTTTTTTTTTCTATGTAGAAAAAGATAAATCATTTTTTACCATCTGAAATCTTTTGAAATATTCCTTGTTTCTTTTTTAATGATTGTTTAAGCCATGGAAATATAAAATCATTTATTTCAGTTGTTGTTCGTTGTTCAGGTGATTTACTAGCAGCATGTATTAATGTTTCATAATTTAATGCCATTCTTAAATTTAATAATAAACTATTCCCATCAATAAAAATGTAACTTTTTTGTTTCTGTGATAAAGATTTGATAGTTTAGAAGAAAAAAACGAAAGAAAGAAAATGATAAAGAAAAGATGTTTGTCTGTTTTCTTGTAATAACGAAGGTTATGAATGCTTATCAGCGACTGTTCCTCGTTTTATACCTGACAACTTGTCTGTAAATAGTATAGCTAATTCTCTCTTTGTCCGTTTCTCTTTCCCCCTAGATTTTTATGTTTCAACAATTCATGAAGAACAGCTCCAATAAGAGACAGAAAAAGAGAGAGAAAGGTGCATATGTATGCATTCTGTCTTTCGTCTAGCGACCGATACAAGGGCGTTTTAGTGTTTGGAAGCACAAGGATCAAACAAACGCAGTTGTCACTAAATGCGATTCGAGTACTTCTGTGCGGTAAAATACTATAAGAGAGAAGAGAGCGAAGAACACGCAAGTTCAATCAATATTAAAAAAAACTATACTATGAATGAAATTGAAAAGAACAATACAGACAGATTAGAACAACGTTGATTGTATGTTTTGCCGGCATACACCAGAATAGCAACAACAACACATGCATGTATGTCTGTTTTTAATGAGGGTTTTTAGAAAAAAGATACATGCATATTATTTTACGTCTAGTAAGGAACAAAAAAAGATTTTTATCAATGCGATAAAATATATGTATAGTATGTTTAAAGTAAAAATAGATTTTTTTTAACTTGTTAATTTTGACACTAGTTATAAGACGATTTGTAAGATGTACTTTTGTTATATTTAGGTGCATATGACTACTTTAAGGTAAATTAATACGATATGTTTTTTTCTAAATATAAATTGCTTTTTCGTTTTCTATAAGCGTTCTTATCTATCATGTGAGTTCTATAATTTATTTGTTCTTGCCCTTGAAAAGGATTCTACCTGTTCGTAATATATATACATTCTGTTGGTATTTCTCCGAAAAAAATAAATAAATCAAGATTTCTTTTTTTGGACTTTAAACTAACAGTAATTACAAGAGACAAGTGCTTCATAAAGAATCTAATTGTCAATAAGAATGTTATTTTATCGTTTTATAGTAAATGAATATCACGAGTGAAGTTGTCATATGATTACTTTTTCTTCTTTCTTTAATTATATCCTTTCAATATGGATGTATATTATATACATGATGAGAATTAATCATAAATGAAACCATTTAGAGTAAATTTTTAATAAAGAAAAATTGTATTTATTCAAATATTTACTGAGAACGGAATGACAAAAAAATGATATTACTACTTAAAAAATAAACGATAAAGTACAATTCTTATTTGTTACATAATCACATGCATTATATATATTATACCGCTCTTATTGACCTCAAAACTATTTCATATAATCTAAGATTTTATCAACATTATTCGGTTAGTTATTGAATAGAGTTAATATAAAGTAATCATTCAACTTTTATTCATAATATTTTCCGATAATTGACATACATTATTGTGAAAGAAACGTTCGGCACCACTTGAATGTATAGCTTTTCATTTTCTCGGATGAATAGAACGTGAAAGAAAGTTGAGAACAAAATGTTATTCTCTGACGTAGCAATATTTCTAGTAGTTACTTATTTCATTTCACTACGGAATAGTTTCCGAGAGATTTTAGATATTTGATAATTGTATGACAATCGGAAATATATTGAACCAAGATTATAAGAAAATATTATTAATAACTTTTTTTTATCGTGCATTAAAATATTTATCGAATTTTGAACATAATTAAAAAAAAATCCTTTTATTTTCTTTATCAATAAATTGATCGAACAAACATTGTTCGCGTTGTTTATTCTAGGTGGATGCATATGAGAAACTTGAAAAAAAGACAAAAAAACGCAACACATGACAAAGAAAATAAACTAAAATTAAATAAGAAAATAGAATAAAACTAGACTGAAATAATATGAATTTCGATGTCACACCGGTAATATTACGAAAAATTAATTGCTTTACCAGAATAAGCTTGAAGATTAGCTTCTTTAAATGATTCTGACCATGTCTAAAAAATATATATAAATTAATTATTTGAAATAAAATCATTAAGAAAATCTTACTGGATGAGCATGACAAACACGTGCTACATCTTCACATGATGCTCCATATTCCATAGCTAATGCTGCTTCATTAATTAATTCACCAGCAACCTAGAACATAAAATCATTTTATAAATTAAAACAAAATTGCAATCAAAATCTACCGAATTAATCATATGTACTCCAAGTATTCTATCAGTTTTGTCATCAGATAATACTTTAACAAAACCTTCGGCTTCATTTATTGTTTTTGCACGACTATTAGCTGCCATTGGAAATCTTCCAGTTTTATATTTAATACCTTCTTCTTTTAATTGTTCTTCTGATTTTCCAATCCATGATACTTCAGGAAAGGTATATATAACACTTGGTACACAATTATAATCTATATGTGGCTCATGACCAGTTGCAATACTTTCGACACAAATAATTCCCTCATCTTCAGCTTTATGTGCTAACATAGGTCCTTGAATACAATCACCTATAGCATAGACACCTTTACATGATGTTTGAAAATTTTTATCAACTTCAATTCGACCACGTTTATCCATTTGAATACCTAAATTTGAAAACAAAAAATAATGATTATTGATATTTTATTTTCTTACCAACGCTATCAAGTCCAAGATCTTTTGTATAAGGTCGTCGACCAATACAAACAAGTACAGTGTCACAATCGAGCTATTTTTAAATTAAAAAAAAGATAGATTAAGAAATAAACAAATGTTTCTTTGTTTTTACCGTTTCTTTATTACCATCTTTTGCTCCTTCAACAGTAACACTAATACCTCCACTAGATTTTTCTGCTCCAGTTACTTTTGTATCAAGTTTAAATTTGAGACCTTGTTTTGTAAGAATTTTTTGGAAAGCTTTGCTTACTTCCATATCAATACCAACACCACCAATATGAGATAAAAATTCTACGCATGTTACTTCTGCACCTAAACGACTCCATACGGAACCCTACAATAAACAAATATTTTATAATACCAAGTTCAAGATCAAAGAACTTACTAATTCAAGACCGATAACACCAGCACCAATTAAAACCATTTTTTTAGGTACTTGTTTAAGTGAAAGTGCACCAGTTGATGAGACAATAGTTTCCTCATCAATCTATTTTATATTTAATTTAAAGGAGAAAGAGATCAAACAAATCGACTTACATTTATACCTGGAAATGGTGTTACTTCAGAACCAACAGCTAAAAGAATATGTTTTGCTTTAAGAGTTTCATTTGAACCATCTTCTTTTTTAACAGTTACTTGGCCAGGTCCACTAACAGAGCCATGACCACGAATGCCAGTAACCTGAAACACAAAAAAAAGAACGTTAATAAAAACTTTCAACGAAATATTTCTTTTACTTTATTAGATTTAAATAAATAAGCAACACCACTGGTAAGACCTTTAACAGCATCGTCTTTTTGTTTCATAAATACTGGTAAATTAAGTGCGACATTGGAAACTAAAATTTCATTTTTAATATTTTTAGTTCAAATCAAATTTTAATCACATACCATCAATGCCTCGTTTTTTAAGTTCACCATGTTGTGCCATATGAAAAAGATGGGAATTATGTAACATAGCTTTTGAAGGTATACAACCAACATTAAGACATGTTCCACCATATGTTGCATTCTTTTCAACACATGCTGTCTATGAAAAGAGAAAAACATCTATTTAAAAAATAATCAGTATTTTAGATTATTCAAAATACTTTAAGACCAAGTTGAGCAGCTTTAATAGCTGCTACATATCCTCCAGGTCCAGAACCGATAACAACAAGATCAAATTGTTGTTCTATATAGAAAATATAAATAATTTTTAAAATAATTTCAAATTTTTCTCTTACCACCGCCACCGCTAGATGATGATGATGACGAACCATTTCGAAGAAGAACAATTCGTGAAGAATTAAAACATCGGCTTGTGATCTTTTATATATATAATAAAAGAAATTTTAATTATTATTATAAAGTATTTTTACCCGTTGCCAAGGTACTACTTGGGATAACATCTAAAATACGAAAACAAAATTATTTTCTTGTATTTAAAAAATAATTCTCTATAGTCATTCATATCGATATACACAAATAAATAATACATAAAACGTATTATATAAAATCTCTATAATTTTTATTATGACACATTCGTTTATTTAAGATACTCTTCCATTGAATGATCCAAATAATAAGATCCATCCAGCTGATTTTGCCATTTAGATAGATTGTTTTCGATACTATCCTCTGATTCTTACATGTTATAATATGACAAGATGTCGCTAGAAGTAATACACATAAAATAACGAAAATATTTTCTCATTTATAAAAAAAATTTAAATTGAAAATAAACCTTGAAAAACATGTTTTTAATTGTTTTATATGATTTAAAAAAAATCTAAATGAAATTTTCTATGACTGAGAGAACTTTTTTTCAATATTTGAATTAGCAATAATAATTGATCTTTTTTATATGAACTAGTATGCTTACATCATTACTTCAGCTCTTATCATAACTATACTTTTACATTCAATGTGCTTAATTGGTTTTATCATGCAATAAGCCAAATCAAGTACTGAGTACAATGTGAGAAAAAACATTACTATGTCATATTAACCTCGTGTTGCAAATGGTTTTATTTCAGTCATTATACTAAAAAATTTAAAATAAAAGATTACGGAAGGTTTATTCCTCATACTATTGAGTACTCTATCTTACAAATTTTCCATTAATAATTTTACAATTTCTTGATCAGTATGAGACTTTTAAATAATTTATCTAAGTTAGTCGTCTTCTCATAAGTTACAACTTTTGATTACTAATACATGTATACTGCCACTAAAAAGCATAAGAGAAAGATTTCTTTATATAAACTATCTTTTCTTAGCGAGTTTATTCCGTGCATAATATTTGCTTCAGACAAGAATAATTATTTAATTTTATTTAAAGTTAGTTGATACGTTGCATCAAATAATTATAACGATCATCATAGTGTTTATTAGTAATCATACTAATAGTATGTTAATTATCTACTCATAATTTTGTCAAATCATTCATAATAACATATATCGCATTACTATATAATGTTTTACCAACGTTATATATAAATATGAGTTTGAATGTCAGATGTTTATAATATTCCGATATCTATGATGCATATTTTACCTTTTTCATAATATTTAAAAGATGTTCAATAATACAATATTATTAGAATTGAATTATACAAACGATACTTGTCATAAACATCTTTTATGGAGTCCATCTACAATGGAAAGTCAACGACGAGTATTATACATTTGTATAGTTGCTTCTATAATTCATTCGATATTTTGGCTTCAAGTTACTTTTTGTTCATCTGTTCGACAAAAGTCTATGCAATGGCTTTATGCCTATTTAATTACTGACATATTCCTTCTTATTCGATTTTTTTTCCTATTTATTGTACATACAACATCGACGAAATGTATATCGAACAAATCATGGTATATTTTCATCTGTTATTTCGAAGCACTTTTAGATAATTATTTAAATACAATTGAAATATACATATTACTTGCATTAAATATATGTCGTTACATACAAATTGTACATAATCAAAATGTATATACAAATTATATACGAATATTGATCTGTACTCATCTAACTATTTATATAATACCAATACTTAGTTATATCATTCAATTATGTGTTAATTGGACTCAAATACGAGAGTATGTAGGTTCATCATGTGATACACAATTTACAAATATATATGCTCAAGTTATAAATATTATTTTTGGATTTAGTCTACCAATTCTTCTTAATGTATTCGTTGTATGTTGTAATATGAATCATATTCATTCAACTTCTCGGTTAAGCCAAGCACAACATCATGATACAGCTCGTGAAAAATATCAACGTTCCTTAGTAATTCAATTTCTTGCTTTTTACATAATATGGCTTTTACTTTGGTCTCCTAATATTATCGTATATCAATTCACAAGTGGTGCATCAAATATAACAGAAATAGCTTCATTACTAAATTATATTGAAATTGCTCTAGATCCATTCATAATTGCTGCATTAGATGTTCGTTTTCAAAAATCGTGGCGTAAACTAGGGAGATATTTTATAAATAGGATATTTGGTAAAGGACCAAATGGAAGAAAAATTATGCCAACATCAACTAATCCAATTCGATCAACTGGACACGGACAATTTCCATCAGCAGTTAATATAAGCCGATCATTAGGTTATCCACAAAACCAAACAGCTACTTTTCCAATACAGAAAAATGAAAAACTTGAACTACCCGTTCCAGTAACGTAATAAAAATTGTTTTTTCTTTTATTTTAAAATCATTCTTTTAAATATACAAGCATAGAATGCCTCTTTCAAATATCATATCCAGAAATTCATCAATGTCAATGGTATCTATTTAATCTTTATCAAGTTCTTCTAATTATATATCAACATATGTTCCCATCATAATCATAAACAAGTTTTACAATTTGTCTATATCAACGATAGATTGTTTCATTTAAACTATAAACTAAATTTGATATAGTTACTAGATCATATAACAAACACAAGACATTGCTCTTATTGATATATATCAGATATATTAAAAATAAATGAAAACATTAAATTCTTTATCCCTGTTATTAAATAATTACCATTTACATTGATATGCGTCAAGGGTTTGTCTAATATCAACAGCGTAGATTAAAATTCAAGAGATGTTTATGCTCATGCAAGCACTTTTCTCTTTCAGATATCAAGCTTTTGCTGAAAAATATTCTTTCACTTGATTTAAAATTAGAGTATACAAATCAATTTTTAACTTTTTACGATAGGAAAAATTTAACCTATGAACAGCGTATTAATATAAAAAATGTTTATCTAAGTTTTTAATTCGGTTTCAACTTAGAATTCATTACGTTTTTATAAATATTTTATATATATCTAGAAGATTAACTCATACAATTTTGAGAAAGATGAGTAAAAGTGTATTGAACCAGTAATTTAGGTACGTAAAATTCAATAATTAGTCTTTCATTGCTCTTGTTAGGATATCGAGAGCAGAAGAAATTAATAATTATTTTTATATGAGGACATGCTCGTGCTTGGAAGAATGGAATATTAATGATAAGATTCAATTCAAATAAAAAGAGGAAGTCATGTGCTAGATAAGAGAAACAATACCATCTCATGCAGTTTCTATTCTAATAGATATATTCATTATTTTACTTTATATTCATGAGTTTTGAATGTTCTTAAAAATAAGAACTATTCAGACAACTCGTGATTATAAAAAAAAAACTTTTCTTTTGTTTTTAGAACATTCAAATGTCAAGAACCGTTTAATGACTATGTGAAAATAAATGTTCGAAATAACTTCAATTGATCTTTAATACTTTCCATCTAGTCTTATAAACGTTTTGTAGTATTCAGACCCATATTTCAAAGTAAAATATGATATTAATATATTCTGAATAGAATATATATTCAAGTATATTTTTTTGATGAGGAATGAACCTACGTCATCAAGTTTTTTCTATCTTTAGTTTGTATCATCTTATCCGGTTTTCTCATTTCTAATTTTTTATTCTATACTTGAGTCTGCTGCTTTTACTATTATTGAATATTGTTTAAAAGGCGTATCTTTAAAAGTAATTGACACGATATAAATATAAAATTATAGATTATAAAGGTAAATTAGTAAAAACGTTCAGTGACGTATCTATATACTAAATGTCTGATAATAATCATTCAAAGTAGTCTTTTAATTAATATCAAATAATAAATTTTCTTACGAAATAGTTTTAACTATTATATAAGCAATATTTAATTATATCTCACTGCATTGTATTATAATCAAACATCAAAAGTATATTACATAAACTCCATTCTTTAATTTATGTAAAATACTTTGTAGTTAATGATTATTAATAGAAGTGGTTTTTTGTTTGAAATGTGAAAGAGACTCTAATATTGATGATGATATTTTTAAACTAAACATTAATTATAAATTTATCTAAAAAGCAAAGTACGCTTTTTAGTCCATAAAATTCTCATTATGCATTCTTAACTTTATTTATTAGCTAGTTACTTCATACGTTTCTTCTTTGTTGTGGAAAGTCAGCGTTGTGACATGATATTTTTTTAATAAAGTAAAAAAAAGCTCTAAAATGTTGATTCTCATTAATTTCTTAGATGAGACATGCACAAGGAGATCGTGAAAGAAAGTTTTAAAACCGGAAAATGCAAGTCATCTTTCATATATTTAATAAAAGAATATTGTTGAAACAATACAAAGATAATGAATCACATGCACATCATACTATTGTTTAAGATCATCTACATTTACGTCAGTTTTCATTAAAATCGTGATCCTCGATACTATTTTTAATGAACACGTTATGCGAATATTTAAATTAAAATAATTATTATTTTTTCTAATAAGAATTTGACTCAATAGATATATAAATATTATGTCCACGGTATTTCAAATAAACAATACTAACAATATATGTTCATACTCTCTTCTATGGAGTCAATCTACTATCGATAATTTCCAACCGATACTATATGTCTGCTTTATTGCTAGTGTTGTTCATGCTATATTTTGGCTTCAACCTGTTTTCTATTCATCCGTTCGACAGAAAACAATGCAATGGATGTATGCTTATCTTGTCACTGATCTCTTACTTATAATTCGATTCTTTTTTCTATATATCGTACGTACAAGATCGACTGATTGTATGCCTAATCAATCATGGTATATATTTATTTGTTATTTTGAAGCAACTTTAGACAATTATCTAAATATACTTGAAGTATACATTTTACTTGCATTAAATATTTGTCGATATATACAAATTGCACATAGCAAAAACGTTTATATTACAAATGTACGATTATTGATTGTAGCGCATTTAAGTATCTATGTCATGCCATTGATTAATTTAATTATTCAAACTTCAGTTCGCTGGACTAACTTGAATATGGCTAATCATGAAATATGTGATTTAAAATATACAAATAGTTATATTCAAATATTCAATATTATTGTTGCTTTTGCTCTACCTATTAGTTTAAATATTCTGGTAATATACGCTAGTGCTCGTTATGTTCAATTATCCTCTCAACTACGTCAAACACGACATCATGTATCAGCTCGTGAAAAATATAATCATTCATTAGTACTTCAATTTCTTATATTTTATTCAGTATGGATTATACTTTGGTCTCCTAATATTATTGCTTTTCAATTGCAAAGTAAGAACGAAAAGATAATAGCCAACGTTCAACTATTAAATTTTATTGAAATAACATTAGACCCAATTATAATTGGTGCATTGGATGCTCGTTTTCGGCGTGTTTGGCGCGAAATATACAATTTTTTGAAGACAAAATGGTACATGGCATTGAATCGCCATCAAAGACGAATAGTACCTAATACAATCAGTGCTCGTTTACGCGTTCCTCATCATGTACGTGTAACACCTTTATAACAAAAGGAAGATATGATACATTATGATATATAGAGTACTTTTTGTTTAATATTTTGTTATCGTTATTTTTGTATGCTGAAATAAATAGTTGCTAAGCATAGAATGTCTTACGGATTAATTCACTCAAGTAAAAGATTCTTTCCATATAAACTTATATTTTTTTTTCTAATTAACAACCCATGGTTCATTATTATTAGTACTCTTCTTCATTTCTTGGCATAGTTTTCAATAACTCTGAAGAATAATAGTAAAATTTCATTATATTTGTGCTAAAAGTAGTAAAATTGAATATTAAAGTTAATGTAACACAACGCCATTGAGAAAATTACATATTTTCATAGGTTAAATGCTCTAGGTTCAAGTTTTAATTAAAGGTATTGTAATACATCATTCTCAAAATCAACGAAGTACGCCATTGCATGGGTTTTTCTAATTCTTCAGATTTTCTACTGCGCCATAGCTTCCAATTGAATATAGTAGCAATCTGATCAATTAATTCTTACATCTTTTAGATGAGATTATTATTTCTCCTTAAGAAGATTTAGGTAATCTCGAAAGTCAACAGAACATATATATTTATAAATCAAATCTAAAAAATAGGTAATATAACATCTAGTACTTCGTATCTCCTAACAAGTAATCGTAAACGGTTATAAAAACTAGTTTTTCAATTCGATATTTTCTAAAAAATAAATCTGCTGTAATGTATTTGAGAAAAATCTATTTATGTCTATCATTTTGATATTAGAGTTTATTATTTTGCTCCATACTGGTAGCGTCTCTGACTACTTTGAATATTAATTTTTTAGTAACCAATTAAAACTAATGGAAAAAGCTGAAATAGAGAAAACTGATCTAGTATTTACTTCGACATGTTATTTTTAATGTTAGTGTTCAACCAAAATTAGTTGAATTTCCGTTAGTTCCAGTCAAAATACGCCGGATTTTAGAAGACTTTATCATTCGATGAAATTATTTTTGGAATAGCATAAGATTTAATAAGTTTTATTATAGATTTCTAACTCTGCCCTTATAAATAATAACTTTGCTTGCAGTTGTCATCTCTTTCTCTACAGAATAATCTCTCTCTATACAAGCCTGTATTTCAGATGAGCTACCATTACTCTATCTAACACATTACAAGTAAATGAAAGTAGTGTATAATAGTAAAGGATATAAATACTACTTAGTACGTCAGAACAATTTACCGTCTATTGTATTATACAATTAACACCTTATTCAACACTTTTGAACCACATATAATGAACCGTCTGATATTAATAGACTAGATATAAAATATGACAAATAAAATAGATAATTACAGTCAGAATTTAATCTGTATTTTAGTATCGGTAGCATACATCTAACGCTTATTTATATTCAGGTAATATTAATTTGACGTATAACTTTCAAAGTAAGGTACCACATAGTAAAAAGAAGAAAATTAACATAGATGACTAGGATATTAAATTTACTTTATCTAGTGAGTGTTAATACGTTTAAGAGTCTAGATCTAGAATATCTCTATATATAATAAAGTAAAATATGAGTGACAGACTTTTATACATATATACGTAATAGAATAAGTTTACTTATTAGAAAACTACTCCGTAGTAGTAACATAAGAACTCAGACAGCTAATTTTGTCTGCTTGAAAAAAAGCGGTGTATTCAATAGTTTATATTTATAAAATATATAGTTCGTAAAATAATATTTTACAGACAATATTTATCTTCTGTGACAGTAATATCCTTTGGTGACATTGATAATTAAATAATGTATCCGTTTCGTCGAGATTTTATAATTCATGACATAAGAAAAGAAGAAAACTTTTCGAACATATATTTTACTTTGTTTTTAATCATTTATTATTTAATTATATAGAAGATAGAAGATTAATACATACAAATGTTTGCTAAAAACTTATTATTTAAAATCTACATAATCTTAAATAATATAAATTAGATAAAGTTTTTCCACTAATTCTACTTTTACTATAGCACTACAATCAAATGTCGTAGAAAATTTATTTAATTCTTTTTTTTCAAGAAAGAATTATGTATGTCGATCAAAACTAAATTAAGTATTTCAATAAAGAATTTTCTCAAAATTCAAGAACATCTTTAAGTCAAAGATGTCAGATAGCTTTTATATAACGTCAATCTTCATCTTCTTATTCAAATATTTATTTTAAGCGTCTTTATACTTATACTTTCGATGTTTTTGACTATCGTAAACAGAGAATTGTTCAATATGACCAAGTCTCTCATGTGATACTAAAATATTTGCGTCAATATTCGAAAAAAACTTCTCTCACACAAAAACACATTTTCTTCGTATATCTGAAAAAAATGTTTCATACTATTTCATATAATATCGTCTATTACTTTATTTCTCATAGAACCTATATAGTTTCTGATAGTTTCTCTTTCAGACAGGAACTTATTTTTTTAATTGTCATCAGCTGTAGTAAATAGACAGTAATATACGCCGACGCCTGAAAGTATTTATTTCAACTGTTAGAAGCAGAATAAATTTATCACAAAACTTGCACTTCCCTCATTAAACGATCATCTAATAGAGCTATTAATTATATAAGATGAGTCGAAACGACACGATATACCGTTTCAAAATCTATGATAAAAGAACATATCAAGATTATCTGAGAAGTTTATTAGCAGAGACTGAAGAATCTGTAAAGATAATACATATTTTTTTAAAATAGTGCAAAAATTATGTGCAGGAATTCGATCCACTATGTAGGTGAATACAGATTATTAATATCCTATTGATAATCTTATGGTAGAATGTTCATGAACTTTTTTCTTCAGTCGAAAATATCCTAGATATGTTCCTTGTACAGAGTGACATTTCTGACACATTGGATTTAAGCTATGAGATTATATCTTCTTTTTCATTTTTACTTAATTTGATTATATATGATTTTAAGGACAAAAGTGTATAATTAAATAATACATTATAATAATATGTTACCTTGAGCTCTTGTGACTTTTAATGATAAAAAAGAATTATTATATTGACTTTTTCAGATCACTCTATCAGTGGCTTAAAGTTATATGCTTTATCTCTATATAATCAAAGGATCTACATTCGTTATTACTTATTATTTTTTAACATAGTCAAATAGAATGGTGTCATTATTTCAACAAAACAATACTGACAGTAAATGTCTTGCAACACTTTCATGGGATCAATCTACCGTTGATGCTCAACGACCCATATTATATGTATGCATCATAGCTTCCATAGTTCATGCTGCTTTTTGGCTTCAACTTAGTCTTTGTCCATCAGTTCGACAGAAAACAATGCAATGGCTCTATGCTTATCTTGCAACTGACATCTTCCTTCTTATTCGATTTTTCTTTCTTTTCATTGTTCATACAACATCAACAGAATGTATACCCACTAGAGCATGGGAGCTGTTTGTCGCATACATTGAAGCAATTGGTGACAATTATTTAAACATATTAGAAGTATACATTCTACTTGCATTAAATCTTTGTCGATATATACAAATTACACGTAACAAAAATGTTTATGTTACAAATGTACGACTATTGGTTGTTACACATATTGCTATTTATTTATTACCAGCTTTTTTTCTAATTATTCAACTTCCAATTGGATGGGGTGAATTAAATTCTTATAGTGGTAATACGTGCGATATAGGATATACAAATACCTTTGCTGTAGTACTCAATATTGTTGTTGCTTTTATTTTACCGATTGGTTTAAATATTCTAGTCATCGGTGCTAGCGTTCGTCATGTTCATTTAACTTCGCAACTACAACAAGCAAAGCATCATGTATCAGCTCGTGAAAAATATAATCGTTCATTAGTAATTCAATTCACTATTTTTTATACAATATGGTTCTTACTTTGGTCACCGAATATCATTATTTATCAATTTACTAGTGGTGTAAATACTCTTACAATAATTGGCAAATTGTTGAACTTCATTGAAATCTCAATAGATCCAATTATAGTTGCTGCATTAGATGTTCGCTTTTATCAAGCTTGGAAAAAAACTTGGACAGAATTAAAAAACAGAAGCCTCAAAAAATTTGGACATGAACAAAGACGTATTGGACCTGCTGTTTTTACTACAACAGTGAACACAGTGCAACAACGTGTTACAAAAGTTTAAATACACATTTATCTGTTTAGAATGACAATAGTATTTTAGTTTCTTATTCGTAATATTAATTAACTCAAATAGAACTTTCATCAACTATATGGTATAGAAAATTATTATTTTAAAATAATTAAAATAATTTTTCGCGGTGCCTTTATGCAAATGATTTCTAAGAAGAAGAAGAAGAAGAAAATGTCAAAATCGAAGCCTTGGACGACAAGATAGACAATTACAGTTGTATGACAGAACTAGTTGATGTTACTTTCGTAATTTCTTTTTTTTAATCATTAAATGTAAAATTTTATGCAATGAAATTTTATTATATTCTTTATGAATACATGAATTTTCATAAAAAAATTTAATAAAATAAAAATCAAGTATTTTACTTGAAAAAAGAAACACTAAAAACTTTTACATATACAAAATTATGAAATATTGTTCATGTACTTTCATGATTAATAGTTGGTGTCCATTTTCTTATTGCGACAAAAGAACCTATAGCTATTGTAACAATCATACCTAATAAAACAAATCCAGTCCATAATGCAGCTATTAATGGTCCTGTACGTTTCAGAACTATTTTTTGACGTTGTTTATACACAATTTGTGTAATATTATGATAAACAAATATTGTTCCATTAGAATAATCTATATTAGTTTCTGATGGTGATAGATAAAGTACTAATGTTTGAAGACTATTTGGTCGAGCATATAAGTCATAAGGTCCATCATCTTCTCGAATATGAAAATGTCCATCATTTATTTGTTTAGCTAACTGTCGAATTAATTCTATTAATGATGGTTCTTTCAAAGAATTTGATACTCCAGGTGGATTTTCAAGAAGAGTAAATGTAACATAAATATCTTTATCTTGATGATCAGTTGTGTCACGTGTTATATCAATAACAAATGATGATAAACGAATATGACGAATTTTAAGATCATTTGCTAATTGAATATGTAAATGACGTTCAAGTGATAATAATTGTTTATGTACTGGATATTTCTCATCATTATTAAGTGTCATACGAAGTATAGCATAATTAAAACCTTGACTTGGACCTAATGATCGATAACATTCACCTAGAGTTGAATCAATCATTTGCATTGAATTTGGTCGAGAATTATAATTAAATATATCTTTAATAAAAAAAAGATTCTAATAAGTTATTATAAGGTAATTTATCAGATAAGAATTCTCGAAATAATACTTTATAAATAATGACGAGAAAAAACGTTTTTGCTTTTTAGAAATACTTATTCTTCAACCGAAATTAATATCTGATATTTTTTTAAGATAGCATTTAGATACATAGAAACTTACTAATTTCTTGATTTACCGTTTTACGTGGTTCTGATTTCACAGTTGTCGATATGTAAGCTTTAATAGGAATTAATTCTTGTAAATCAATTTCATTAAATGTTGCACTCCAAAACCATTCATATTGTTGAACAAATCCATCCGAATCATATTGGCCAATCCATCTATGACATTGAATATGTTCTCGTCCACATCCTGTTAATCCAGTATATTGAAATCGAATCGAATCATTTACATGACCAAATTGAAATAATAATTCATTTGTATTATGCATTGATAGAGTCGTTATATTCGTAACTGTACATTGTTGAGTTTGACGTGTATACATATATTGTAATTTTGTTGAATAATCAACAAGTAATGTACTTGGTGGAGACATTGTATCTATTTTATTCATAGTATAATCAAGTCGTTCAAATTCAGATGGTTCATCAATAAGACGATTATACGATTCAATTCTTGATGGGTGATCATTATCTTTAAGTGTATAGGCGTCAGCATGTATAGATAAACGAGATGGTATATTTTGTGGAAATTCTTTTGTAATTGTTCGATTTGGACAATACGCACCTGATGGTGTTTTAATCGTCAGTGAAGGATTTGATACGTAACGAATAATATTATATGTATATGGATAATCATTTGAACGAACATCTATTTGAACAATATCTGGTCTAATATCTGGAGTAATTTGATCAGGTGAAGATTCACTTATATAATAAGTTGCATTAATAGTTATATTTTCTTGATCAATATAAAAACATGCTTGAAATTTTTGAGTTAAAATACCATCTCGAATAGTTTCTTTACCAATATATCGTGTAAAAAATGCATCATTATATTTATTTCGTCCATTAAAACCTAATAAAATCGAAGGTTTTACAATTTGACTTGTAGCAAATGGTAAATATTCATTTGGTTTAATTTCTGTACGATCACATTTTAATTTATCATTTATAGTTAACATTTCATTAATTTCAAAATCATAATATGTACTTAAATTTGCTTCATAATTATGAAAATAAATGACATCTTTATTATGACCTAAGAACAATTGAGTTATTTCAATTGTTTCAACATCAGTTGTTAATTCAGTAATAATTTCAAAACGATTCGGTATATTAATAGGCCATTGTGGATCTGGTGGAAAATTTGTAAGACCATTTGGACAAATATTTAAATCAATTTCTTGACAAGAAAATATTTTAAAAAGCAAACATACATTTAGCAGTAGTATTAGGTTACGAAACATGTTAAGTGTCTAAGGTAATGATAAAGAAAACGACGAATATGATAATTAATAAAAGAGACATATGATAAGAATAAAACGAAATGCAAATATGCCTATTCATTTACTTAGACATTTGCGATGTGTACTTTTAACTTATATGTCGGTGTACTTTTTTTTATCGTATCAAAAATTTCTGGAAATGATAATATTACTTATCCAAATTTTCCTAGACAAGCAGAATTTATTCGTGAAAATATCATAACTCAAGGTCAATATAAACGTGTATCATCTGAATTTATTTTTGATTCGTATAATGATCGTCTTATTGAAATTAATGATGAAAATATAATCTATTCGAATTATACAATACTTCGAAAATCTATTTATCCAAGAAATCATTTAAAACAATGTAATGTCTATCCAATAGATGTTAATAATCCACCTGATGGATTATCTGCTTGGACAAATCCGGATATGGGAACAACACATATTCGACCATTGAATGATATTTTCAATTTTCCACTAAATGCTATCTATCTTGGTGAAACAATGTTACGTGGATATATTTATGTGAATCAATGGATATCAACAATATCCAATGATTTAGAAATGATTTGGTCATTTTCGAAATCAAATTATCCAATGCCTTGGAATCCGGAAAATTTTTCTATTCCTGTACAAATTATTAAACGACAAAAATCAGATGGAGTTATTCTAGAAGTAACAAATATTTTTAGTTATAAAACAATAATTACTAAAACACATTTAATATCACCACCAAGTGGGATTTTTTGTGTAAATTTAACTGCAGCAGATGATCTTATAAGTCTTCAAGATGTTGGTATAAATTTTCCTGAGAGATTTAGTGTTCGTATTGATGTTTCAAGTACATCACAATTTCTTTGGCATTCAGTTCATCTTCGTTATCTTTCATTAAATGGACAAAAATTCATTCGTTATGATTATACACCATTTGATAATACACAAAATCCAGTAACAATTATACTTGATAATACTGACGGTGTACAACGTTCATATAAAATCGATCGTCACACAGGTTCATGTATTATAAATGATTCTGTTGAAATTGTTTTAACGTCATCTGTTTTACATAATCCAATTGAAACATTGATTAAATATGAAAGTCTTCTTCTTACAAATCCACCGCATCATATTTTTCAATATACTGGTAATCGTCAATGTCGTGGATCAATTTTATGTTCAATTTTTGTTGCACAATTATCTGGATTTCCAACTGACTCACAAGAAGATTGGACAATGACAAATATTGAATGGGGATGGTCAAAACGAAATATCGATCATAATGATTCTCCATATGATTATCCAGTTCATCTTAATTTAAATTTATATAGAAAAAATTCCGAACCACCAGCTACGATTCATTATGAATTTTATGATTATCATACAGAAGTTCATCTGAATGAATTTGATGTTAATTTATGTTATCGATCAAATCAACTATGGTATAATCATTTAGCATTTCAACTTAAAATTACAAATCAATCAACAACAGATGGCATTGAAAATGTTATAATTAATCGGTAAATATTTATATACAATTTTTTTTATTTATTTTTTCTTTATTTATTTCTAGACGACGTTTAGGTGAATACATTCGTAATCAAATGATGGGAATAATGTCATTAAAATATTTACGTATATCTCAACTTGAACTTGATCATCATCCAAATGAACCAGGTCATAATGATACACTTTATTGTATATTTACTTTACTTGATCGAACACCTTTTGTTGATCCAAATTCTGAAACTGAAGTACTTGATGCGAAAAATAAACTTGAAAATGCTATTAATTCGGGTGAATTTCATTTTACAACTGATGATAAGCTTTCAATTGAAGCAATAAAAAATTCATTAGAAGATGTTCGATATTTCTATGTATTCAATCCTAATATTACAAGTAATCAAACAATTTCTTTTAGTAATACAACTGTACATGTAAATCGAACTATTATTGAAACAGTTGAAGAAGTTTATGAAAAAATTCAATATTCAGATGGAGCGCAAGCTGGTGCAGTTATTGGTGGAATGATTGTTGGAATTCTAATAGGACTTTCTCTGACATTTATTGTAGTATTTATGATCAAAAAAAAAGCAAATGCATCTCCAACTGGTGGTCTTACATTTCGAAATTTTAATTTTCGTGTAAGTAATAATCGAACACAAGATGATCTATCAAGTATTGCTATGGAAAATCCAATACATAGTAGAAATAAAACATCTACCTAAATGTTTTTATAATTTTCTTTTGTTTTTATATTATAAAAATAAAAGATTCTGTATTATATAAATATGAATGTGAGCAAAAGATAATTCAAGATAATAACTTTAGACGTGTCTATATTATCACTGATATGCAATTCGCGGAGAACTGTTGTATTAATAGAATTTCTTTTTTGCTACAAAATATCTTCGCTGATCTATAACATACTCAAGTACAACATTGATAAAACATCGAATTTTTTGGAATTCGGTAGATAATTTCAAATATGAATGATATTAAGTCATACTAACTCGTGTACTATGATTAGATGAATGATAACTAATAATCATCTTAACTTTATACTTATTAGTTAACTTCAGAAAACAAGAAATCTACTAAGTTAAGACCTTTTATTATGGAACATAATATTAGGATCATTAAATCTAAATAAAAATATTAATGAAAGCTTAGACTAACTCCGTTAGACAGGAATTATATATGAGAAGAATATCTGTTACATTATAATATTTCATTTCAGTTACAAATTTTTCAATAGTACTTTAAAAGTTTTTCATGAATATAATCGTACGTCTTTGATGCATTAATAAACTTAATAAGAATTATATTAGAACTTATTATATGGTAATTCTATACAGTCCAATGTTAGTTAAATGCAGAAAAGTTTGTTTCTTCTAAGATCATGGGGTAGAATAATAATTGAATCACGTTTCTTTACAATACTCTCCGATTCATATTCATATAATTCTGACGTAAAAATAATTAAGATACGCCTCCATACATATATTCCCGTATTTAATGTTATATAGAGAGGCTAAATTTAGCTTCTTTCATGCATTTAAATATTGAAAGATCGAGCATTTCATATAAGTTAATTTATCGATCATGTATTATACTCAATAAATTCACAAAAATCTCAAGTTAATTTATCAGAAAATTTATTTTTCTTTATGTACAAAAAATACACATGTCATCGTATTAGTATTTAATATTGATTTGACTATTGACTTTGAGAATATTTTCTATGACTCACATTGCAAATATTTTCATCTTCCGTTTTATGCTAATCTATCATATTTAATATAACTCGTCTTACATAGATGTTATTCAAACCCTTGAAAGCAAACGAAACTAGCAGCAAGAACAATCTTTATCATGAAATTATATTAAGTATGAAAAAAAAAATTAATAATTTATTTTCTGAATAGCTCTCGAAATTTAAAACTATTTCTGTTCGATCCGTATCAAATGGGTTTTAGCCTATGTTTATTAAACTTAACAAATGAAGGTTTCTATATAGAATTGAAAAATTCGAAGATAGAACCCACTAAGAGAAGAAATATATATAAATAAAACTCTTAATGGCATTATGTAGGTACATGACATAGTCATTTCGTTAACGACTTTTGATTATTAATTCAGAAGATAACATATTCAAATCTATTATCAATAAATTAGATATATATATTTTCTAAAAAACAGACGTTTTCACGCATGAAAAGAATCTAATTTCAAGTAAATCTTCATACAAAGAATGCATATTTCCGCCTGTCGAATTCTTCATTCTAGATTAGATTAGTCATTACGATAGTAAATCTATATTTAGTACTGTAAAATATAAATAATTTAATATTTTTTTCTTTTTCTTTATAAAAGAAAAAGATATTTAATTTTTTAGAAATGTAGAAGAAGAAGAAAAGACGGATATAAAAGTCTATGTAAGGTCTATAGATCAAATATTCTTATTTTCTATTCTCTAAGAAATACGTCGTTCATTTTATTTGTTAAACTGCGTATCAGCGCCCTCTCATGTCATTTTCTAATGACGTCAAAAGTGATTCATTGATAAGAAACAGAGAACGAAAAGAAAAAAAAACGATGATGTATCAGATGATAAATAAATAATAAAAAGATTGCATGTCTAGAACTTATTTCATTTGTTTTAAGTAAATAATTATCAATGAATCATTACATTTATTTATAAAGAAGAAGAAACTTCTTTTTTCCTTCTTTCTTTCACATTGCTGTTTATTCTTTCAATACTCTACCAGTGTCTTTTAGATTCAAATTAAATAAATATGGGTTGTGTTCTTGGCGCAGTAAGTTTTATTAATTACAACTGAAATTATAAAAAAATATGAAATATTATTTTTCATCTTAGCTTGGATGTTGTTTTGGATCAGCAGCTTGCAGTCTTTGCTGTGCTTGTTGTCCATCAACACGTAATTCATTAGCAACACGTTTAGCTTATGGAGTACTTTTACTTATTGGAATGGTTATATCCTGGATATTTTTAATACCAGAACTTGCAGATACACTTGCAAAAGTAAACAAAAAAAAATTAATTATTAAAAAAAAACCAATCTTATTATTTTAATTAGATACCAGCACTTTGTAAACAAAGTGCAGTAAATGTAGCTGGTATAGAAATAAGTCCGGGGCAAATAGAATGTGACAAATTTGTTGGTTATTTAAGTGTATATCGAATACAATTTTCATTAGCATGTTTCTTCTTTATAATGATGGTTTTAATGTTATGTGTTAAACGATCAAAAGATCCTCGAAGTGCAATACAGAATGGGTAAAATAATTAAATATTTATTATAGTTTTTTTACGAATTTAATTTAGATTTTGGTTTTGGAAAATCTTAATTATTATTGGTATCTGTATTGGAGCATTCTTTATTCCAAGTCAAGGATTTGCACCAGGTAAATGTCATAAGATTAATTCTTTGAATATATTAAAAAAACTTTTTTTCTAGCTATAATGGTTATTGGAAGTATTTGTGGATTTATATTCATATTACTTCAACTTATTCTTCTCGTTGATTTCGCTCATAGGTTTGTTTTTTTTTCTTAAATTTCTATCGAAAAATATTTCGTTTCTGTCATATTTTATAGTTGGAATGAAAGTTGGGTTGGAAAAGGTGAAGATGGCAGTAAAATACATTATTTTGGTCTGATATTTTTTACAGCAACATTCTATATTCTATCAATTGTTGCCATTGTACTCTTATATGTTTACTATGCATCTAAAGCAACATGCGGTCTTAACATATTTTTCATAACAATAAATCTTGTATTATGTATTATTGTATCTGTTGTATCAGTATTACCAGTGGTTCAAAATTATCATTCAACATCGGGTTTATTACAATCATCATTTGTGACATTATATGTTATATTTTTGACATGGTCAGCTATAACAAGTGAAAAACCTGGTATTAAAAAAATTCATTGAAAAGAAAATCAATAAAAGAAATAATTTATTTTAGATGCAACTTGTAATCCATCATGGTATGATTTTAATAAGAATGGAAATTCAACAATGAATGAAGTAACTGGCAGTGGCTCAGTTGGTGTTTCATCAATTGTAGCTTTAGTTATATTCTTTGGATTGATTGTTTATTCAGCGTAAGTATTCATTGTATGGTTTCGAAGTCAGAAAAAAAAGAAGAAAATGATTTTTTTTTCTAGATTGACAAGTTCAACAAAATCATCAGGTGGTAAATTGTTAGGAATATCAGGAAATGAAGAAACAGGAACGCCTGTTACAGATACAGGTATAAAAATAAACATTTACATTTTTAGTTATATTTTTAGCTATAAAAATTTTCTTTTATAGAAGGTGGCAAAAGCTATGATGATGAAGAACAAGCAGTTGCTTATAATTATTCTTTATTTCATTTTATGTTCTTTTTGGCTTCATTTTATGTCATGATGACGTTAACAAAGTAAACGAAAGGATTTTATTTAGATTAAAATTTATTTTCTTTTCCGTTTCTAGTTGGTTTAAACCAACGAATAATTTAAATAATTTTCGTCAAAGTGATGCAGCTGTTTGGGTTAAAATATCTTCATCATGGACATGTTTATTACTTTATTTTTGGTCAGTTATAGCACCATGCGTGTTTCGCAACCGAGATTTCTCGTAAATACATCGAAATGAACTTTTTTTTTTGTGAATGATCTTCTCTTTTGCAATATTGCATTATCTATACATGTATTTAGAAAAAACAAAATTTTCTTTTTATTATATCTATCGTATTGTTCGTCATATGCACATTTACACATATGCATTCTATATATTTAACGTTCGAAACATCTTTTCTCTCTCTCTCTTTTTTTTGTGACATTATATAAATAAATAAACGAAAAACAAAGACTACTAAAAAATAAAGTATTGAATCATTCGGGTTGTTTTCTTGATAATTCTTCTTCATCGGTAGATTCATTATCATCACCATCATCTTCATCATCATCCTCATCCTCATCGGATGACAAATCTATTTCAGCTCCTGGAAATATATATTGTCTTGGTGGATATGATATATAAGATGAATTCTGATTGAATAGTGAAGAATTTTTAAGTGATAATAATGTTTGTTTTTGTGGATTTGACGATTCAATTGGTACTTTAGATTCTAATGATGTTGGAGAAAGTGATGATTCTTGTTTATCATTATCTGATGAAATTTTCTGTTTTTTTCTTTGTGGTTCTTCTGGTTCAATTAGATTTTCAGAAGATATTTCAGTTAACAAATTTTCATTTGGAATTTTCATTTGTGAAAATGCTGGATCAATTTTAGCTAAACGTAAACATATTTCATTAATAATAACATCACAATTTCCTAATAATTCAATATCAAATGTTTTATGTGGTAAACGTTCACGATTAATTAATATTTGTGGTATATCATTTGATAATAATTCTGATACAAGTGAAACTGGTTTAACTTTTAAACTTGAACCCATAACAATTAATAAGTCACATTTCGTTTTATCTATTGAAATTGCTTTATGAAAATCATCTGGTAATTGTTCACCAAAAAATACAATATCTGGTTTAAGTATAGCATCTTGTATATCTTCCGGACATTTCGGACAATGTGGAATTTTTTGTTGTAAAATTTCATGTTTTATTTCATCACTTTTAACTGTATAATGACAAATACGACATGTTGCACTTGAAAATGATCCATGACATTGAATAAGACGTGTTATTGGACATAAATGTTCTAATGAATCAATATTTTGTGTATAATTACGTAGTAATTTATCTTGTCGTTCTAATTCACTAATAAAATAATGAGCTAATGATGGTTGATATTGTCCAGGCCATATTTCTTTCGCAAAACGAAAAAATGGTCGTGGATCTTGAGTAAAATATTCTATATCAAACATCGATTGTGGATTTGGTAATTCAGGAAATTCTTCATGTAAACGTGCATATATACCATTACGTGAACGAAAATCAGGTACTAAAAGAAAAATAGTTTGTTAAAGAAAGGGTCTATATGAAAAATATTTACTTCCACAACTAACTGATATACCAGCTCCAGTTAAAATAAGAATATTTTTTCGTGTACGTATTAATTCAACAGCATCATCAAGTGTTTGATATTGTTCAAGTGCTTTTCGTTGACGAATTGGTAAAAAGAGATTCATAAGAATTTCATACAATGTTGATGGAGAAATATCATCCGGTAGACCAGGTATAATCCGAGAAAGTAACGGACGTAGATCTACACCACTACGCATTTGTTCATCAAGCCATTCAAATGTTAAATCATTTGGTAATTCATCATCATCATCACTAACCCAATGCGAATCATCGGAATCCGTATCTGAACTTGATGATGGTTTATTTGATGGTACTGGTGGTGGATCAGAAATTTCATTAGATGCTTCATTATGATTTATTGAAGCTGTGGTTTCAGTTGAAGTAAGATCAATTGCTGGATTTGATGACATTTTAAATTCTGTCTTTTTATTGGAAAAGATAAATATATGAATGAATAACCAGTTTTAAGAGAGTCAATCAAGAAGGTTTATAATAAATTTTCAAAATAAATATTTTATTTCAATATTTTTTAGTTTTTAATGAGAAAAAATAATCTAAATTTAAAAAATATTTTGTTTAATTACTTACGACTAACGCCATCTATTAAAATTTTGAAGAGGTTGTTGCTACTATGCATTAATGAACTTAAACATTGTTCATGGTCGAAAATAAAAACTTCATTTTAGTTAATATTTGAACAAATTGATAAATGGCTGAAAAAGATTTATATAATTTGGTAACGAATAATAATTTATTTTTGAAATTCTCTATTCAATATTACATATTTAGAGCAAAATTTTCTATTATTTTCGTGAAAAATATTATAATCAAGCATATGTATCAGCAAATGAAGGTTTAAAACGTTTTGTTAATGATGGAATACTTAAATTCTATTCAGCATTAGCACAACTTATGAATGGTAAGATTTACAAATACATAACGCAAAAGAAAATGATGTTATTAGAACTAAATTTGATTGCGAATTATTGCTTATTTTTGAAATTCTAGCACGATTAAATGAATCAATGCGTGAATTAGAACAATTACGTATAAAACCAGAATTAAGTGTTGCAACACTTATAGCATTAATATATGCTCATAAACAACATAAAACACAAGGTATGAATAAAACTAATCTCTAGAAAACATGACTGAATTTTTTTTGTTTTTTATAGATCGTGAAGCAATTACAGAATATGAAAGTAAAGTTAAAGAATTACGTAAACAAGCTGATGATGTGGTAGATAGATTAAACTTTGAAGAGAAAAAAAACCTAGTTGTTTTGTTTTTATCTAGGCTTTATTTTATGCGGCACATACATTATATATTACTGGTAAACCAGATAAAGCAACAGAATATATTGATCGAGCAACAAAACAAAATCAAACAAATTTTTTTGTAAAAATAAAAAAGAATATCTTTCAATTCTTACTCTTCTGTTTAGGCTTCAAGTTTGAAAGGTTGGATATTAATAGCAACTGATGTTCCGAAAGAATCTAAACAATATTTTGAGGCTGCTTTAAAGTAAATCAATACGATTTTTAATATTTATCAAGTTAGTTTTTTATTCAATATAGACTTGAAAGTAACTTTCCTGATGCTGCATTTGGTTATGCAAAATATCGTGAAATACGTTCAAACTTTTCTCAAGCACTCGAATATGTTAATCGTGTATTAGCAACTAGAAGCGATTATTTACCAGCTGTTTTAGAAAATATGAAATTACAATTATGTATGCAGGACTGGGAACAATGCGAAGATGTTGCTCAAAGGTAATTCATTTCGAATTTTAAGAAAACATATATTGGTTTAATTATTAATAGAGCATTTCGTATTGATTCCAATTGTGTTGAAGCACATAAGTATCATTATCTTTATTTAATATGTAAAGAAGGAAATTATAGTGATGTAAGTTATAAAAACAATCTAATAGATTTATTTTTGTCATCGTTTATATAAAGGCACAACAAGCATTTACTCAACTTTTACAAGCACTTGATATATCTGAACCAAGAGGTGCTTGGCAATATTATGAAATCTCACAAGTTGTTGCAAGAGTGGTATGAATATATCCTTCATTTAATGTAAAACGACATAAATACATATATTTAGTGTGGACGAAATCCTCAAATTCTTCATCATAGTGATACACTTCTTCAACGTGCTTTAGAAATGGATTCATCAAATACAGAATATCTTATTGAAGCTGGTTATCAAGCATTAATGGGAAATAAAATAAATGATGCTATTAAATTCTATAAAACTGCAGGAAAAACACAAGCAGATAGTATAGCAGCTGTTTACGGTTAGTTTATTTCAAAATGAATTCATATTTTTATCGAATAATATTTCTAGGTATTATTCATTGTCAAATATTGGAAGGAAAATATAATGATGCAAAACAACAAATTGAATTTCAAAATGAAGTTCAAACAGCAAATACTTCTGTAAATATTGAATAATTACTTTTTTCCAGAAGAGAGAGAAACTAAATTCTATCTAGGAACTTGCTCATCTCAAAGCTCTTCTTGCTAAAAATGAAAATGTCCTACCAGCAGATCAAATCGTACATCTATTTGATATAGCTGCTGAACAACATTTTAAAAATCTTCGAGTAAGTTTTTGTTAATATTTAGATTTTTCTAAAAAGAAATTTGTTTATAGGGTTTACCATTAGGTAAAAAATATTTACTTTGTCTAAATCCAGATTTTATTCTTGAAATTATTCGTGAATATATGGTTAATACATCTTCACAAGTAATTCTTTTAATTTATTGAGAAGAAAATAGAAAATAATTTTTTTTTGTTTATTAAAGCCAATTGAACCAGGTCAAACTCTTGATCCTTGTCTTCGAAAAGCAAGTGGAATTCTTGAACAATTAACAAGAGCTGTACCAGGTTTACTTGAAGGTCTTTTTCTTTTGGCTAAAGTCAAATATTTATCGGGTGAAATGAATGAAGCAAAAGCTACACTTCGTCGAATAATTGATCAAGAAGCAACATATTCGGATGCATATATACTTCTAGCACAAGTTCATACACGTGAAGGCAATATTAATCAAGCATATGAATCATTAGAGCATGGTTTATCATATAATTTTGATTTAAAAACTCATCCATTATATCATTTAATACGTGCAAGAATTTTAAAGAAAGAAAAAAAATATGAAGAAGCTTGTAAATTATTACAAAGTGCATTAAATTTAACGGGAATTAAAAAACGTCAAGAAACTGAAACATTAAAAACGCCACGATCAAAATCCGATGGAAATGCTTCAAGTATTCAAACATCTATACAAGATCGTGCTAGTGTTTATTTAGAATTAGCTGAAATACAATTATTACTTAATCGTGTACATGAAGCAAGTATTTTATTACAAGAAGCAAGTTCAGAATTTCAAGGTACAAGCGAAGAATCACGAATATTATTAACAAATGTTGATTTGGCATTGAAACGTGGTGATATTAATCAAGCAATTGAAACTTTATTACAGATTAAATCTGATCAAGCATATTATGTACCAGCAAGAGAAAAATTAGCTGAAATTTATTTGAAACATCGAAGAGATAAAAAATTATATATTAAAACTTATAAAGAACTTGTTGATCGAGATCCAACACCACAAGCTTTAGTTATCTTAGGAGATGCATACATGAGTATTATGGAGGTTTGTATAAGTATAAAATTTTTCCAGTTAGAAGATCTATTGTTCAGATATGAATTTGCTGAAAATAAAATAATTTCTTATCTAAAATACAGTATATTTGCGTCAGAGTAGAATATTATTAATAGAAGAAATTATGTAAACACAACGTGTAAATAGATATCTAGTGTTTTCCATGGAAGGGTTCACGAATAAAGATAAATAAATAAAATATGGCGATTACGGTGAAGTTAAGTGTGCTCCAAATTTGAAGTTTACGGATATCTAAGTTTTCGTGAGAAACTCTACCTGAAAACTGTAACCATCTGTTTTCGATTGCTCTAATAGATACTCTGAGCTGTACTGAGTCGACTGATGATGCTTAGAAAAAAAAGCACATCGTTACAAGCTACACTTTGTCGAAAAACTTGAAGCTCTTCGATCTAATATTACTGAGAGAGATACGACAGACCAAAACAAAAGAAAATCTTTCACGTCTATTTGATACTACAATTTATTTTTTAGCCTGAAAAAGCTATTGAAGTCTATGATGCTGCACTTCGTCAAAATAATCGTGATATAACATTAATGAAAAAAATTGGTGAAGCTTATATAAAAACTCATGCATATAATAAAGCTATAAAATACTATGAAGCTATTGTTAAAGCTGAACCACAAAGTGAATTAAGGTAAAAAGAAATAAATTATTTAAAAAAATACTTATATAATTTTATTTTATTTAGAATTAATCTTGCTGATCTTTTAAGTAAATTAAATCAAATTGAACAAGCACAAAAAATTCTTGAGCAATTACTTAAAGAAGAAGGTTATTTTTAAAATAAAATCTTTTTGTTTTTATAAACGAAATTCTATTATTTTTCAGTACCAAATACAAATTTTCAACATGCTCAACAAGTAACAAAAGCTTATGAAATTATTGCAAATATGCTTGAGCAATCGAAACAATTCGAAGAAACTAAACAATATTTGATTAAAGCAAAAGATAATCAAAAGAAATTACTTAAACGTTTACAACTTGAAGAAGGAGATGTTCTAAAAGATAATCAAAAATTATATTGCAAGTAAGAATCGTATATCTCATTAGACATAATTAGTTGTTTAATCGATTATAATAAACAAATAGCAATATCTTCTTTTTGTACATTAATGAGATTTTTCCAAAAGTTTTTCAAATAGATGCATACTATTCCAAATTAATTTTATAGAAGTACGATACTGATGTTCTACATCAAACAATGCTTTGTCGATTGAATATGTTTATTAAAAATTGATTATTTCTGATATTATGAGCGGAACAAAAGTTCGTTCTCTTTTTTTTTTGTTAATTAAAGAATAAATTATGGATATGGTAAGAATGAAGATAATGATGTGAAAAGTGAATACAATACCTTTGTCATGATACTATACTCATTAACATTCTTACTCGAGCGTTAGATCAATTATTGTATAGTTACTTCTACTTCATCAGAACTTATTACTGTAATGATTGGTTGATGAAATATCATGTCAAGGAGAATGAAGTATAATAACTACGGAAATTATAAAAGTCATTCATAGAATTAAGCGTGTGGAACAATTAATAAACTTGAGATATATAGTCCAGTGAGTTCCATTAGATGAAGATTATGTCTCACGGAACTATTCATTATTCAGTTACTTTCCAAACATTTAAAAGATTTGCATATTTTACAAAACAATGACCTCACTAATAGATCTATATTTCAAACCATCATTGACTGAATACAAATTTTGATAAAACCCTTCAGTCGATATAGAAGAGGAGCAGGATGAAAGTTTTTTTATTGTAAAAGATATTCTATAATCTATATTTTTAAGCATATGTTATCGTTTGGCAACAATGTATTTTGATGAACAAAATTATGAAGCGGCTATTAAAGATTTAAAAGAAGCGAGTGCAATTGATGATCGAAATTTAAAAGTTAGTTTGTAATATCAATTCTTTTCTTCCACAAAACAATTTTTCTTCTATTTATTTAGATACAAATGATGTTAGCTAAAGCTTATTTAAATTCAGAACAATATGAATTATGTGAACAAATTTGTACTTATATGATTAAAACATTTCCCAATGATAATTCAGTACAAATTGTAAGTTTATTTTTCATAAAAAAAAGAGAATTCTTTCTTTCTATTCCAAAACAAAAATTAACTAGATGATGGCAAATCATTTGTTACGTAAAAATGAAATAGAAAAAGCTATACAACAATACAAAGATATAATCGAACGAAATCCAAGTAAATTATTACAACAAAATAAAATAAAAAATGAATTTATTTTTTGAACAGATAATTTCGATCCATTTGTACAAATGACTAAATCACTTTATCGAGCTGGACGTTTGGATGAAATTAGTGATATTTTAGAAAAGACAGAAAAAAATAATTTAAGAGCATACAATGATGCCGCTTTCAATTTTGCCAAAGGTTTATTATCTTAGTAAGTAAAATTTCGATGAATCTATGCTCATATATAATTCAATTACTAATGAAGAAACATCTTTTGACTTTCTCGTATAGTCAAAAACAAAATTTTCATGACATTTATTTGCAGTCATACTATAAAGAGGAAACATGATGACGATCATAATAAATATACTTTCTTTTGAGATACGATGTATAGATTTTTATCAAATATTGTTGAGACGATGATTCCTTTTAAAAGAATTGCACTTTAAAGTTCATCCTTTGATTTAAAATAATTTAGTTATTTATGTAAACCAAGTGAAGCTCTATCTTGTTTTAATAAATGTCGTCGTGATAAACAATATGGTCGTCAAGCTGTTTATGCTATGGTTAAAATTGTTCTTAATCCCGATAATGAAATTATTGCAAATGAGGATGATTGGAAACGAAGAATACATGGGTATATTAAATTATATTTTTCTTTATCAAAACAATATAAATTAATTCAATTTTTTTTCAGTGCACGATCTGATGAAGTTAAAACTGCACAAGCAACAGCCTTGAATCTACTTCAAGTTAGTTATGAGAAATAAATTTATTTAAGATTAATAATGAATGAATTATTTTTAGAGTATAGGTGCAGGATCGAATGATATTCGATATAAAGTATTAGAAAATTGGTGTTTGGCTTATACAGGTGAAAAAAGTAGTCTTGAACAAGCAGCTGAAAATCTTGGACAAATTCTTAATGATCATGTAAAGATTTTTGTTTTGTAGATTTTCATTTTTTATGTTTTAATTTTTTGTTTCAGAAAGATAATATTGGAGCATTATGTGCTATAAGTGAATGTTTTATTGGATTGAAAAATGTTCAAAAAGCTCGACAATATTTAAAAAAAACAACTAAAATTACTTGGAATATGGATGATGCAGATGAACTTGAACAATGTTGGTTAATGCTTGCTATGACTTATGTTCAAGCAACAAAATATGATGAAGCACTTGAATTATGTAAAAAAGTGTTACATGTTAATAAGGTTTGAAATATATATATAAATAAGTGATATTCAGTTTGAAAATTTATAGTGTTCAACAAGAGCTCTGGAAACTTTAGGAATGATGAATGAACAAACTGGAGCACATAATGATGCAGCAGAAAATTACGAGCAAGCATGGAAATATAGTCGAAAAAATCAACCATCCATAGGTAAGATTTTGATATATAGAACTGTGCAATACAGTTAATATAAGTTTCGCATTTCTTTATAATATTAAAAGATAAGTGGAGATAAAAATTATAGTTTAGAATATTTCGATTTCTATCGTAATGACAGAGAGTTTTGAACGCATAATTGAGCAAAGGATCTAGTCAGCCATTCGTTAAAGAACTTGTTGTTCTAAAAGTATACATGGATCGAAAATAAATATTCAGCATTAGATTTCTTAGATCTATTTAAGATAATCGATTTTATTTTAAGAGTTCACTGCTTATCTCGTAAATTATTTATGATCGAAGAAGTGTAAAGTTTAAATCTTCTTTTAATAAGCCAGAAAATCGCATTGGAACATATAAAAACTGTTGTATCGTGTCGTAATTCATGCGAAAGTTTCTTAAAAGATAAATGACTACAATCGAATTCTTCTTTCGTATAAAACGATCTCTAGTATTCATAATTTCTTGTTATGTATATTTAATTCTTTCTGACGATATGATCTTGATCAGAAATTAACATCTATTTATTGATCACTCATGAATCTCTCACGCACAAAATTTTCTTGACAGTATTCTAATCAGATATGTTTATTAACCTATCTTTCAATAATTTTCATTTCATTAAATAGGTTATAAATTAGCATTCAGTTATCTCAAATCAAAACGGCTTACAGATGCTATTGATATCGCACATTTCGTAAGTATTTCTATTATTATTATTATTTACATCAATTCTAAAAATAATATATCATTTAGATTCTTCAACGATATCCAGATAATACACGTGTTCGAAAAGATATTCTTGAAAAAGCACGTTTAGCACTTAAATAATTGTTCATTTTGATTTTAAATAAAAGAACATAAATTCATAAAGGTTTATATATATATATTTATTTATCTATGCAAAGTATAAGAAACATACATTGACTAAGAATAATTATGATAGGATACATTGAGATTTTTTTCTTTGTTTCATTTTGGGATATTTTCCTAAACCAGCTCGAATAGCAATATCAAATACACGTGCTAAATTTTTTTGTGTTAATGCTGAACATTCAATATAAGCAACTGCTCCAATCTCTTGTGCCATTATTGAACCTTTTTGTGTAATAATTGGAGCTGATTTTCTAGCCTAAAACAAACATATTAAATATAGAAAATGTATAGAAAATATTTTTCTTCATACTAAAAGTTTGTCAATAGTATGTTTATCATCACGTAAATCTAATTTTGTACCAACAAGAACAACTGGTGTATCGGGATTATTATGTTTGATTTCTGGTGACCATTTCGCACGAACATTATCAAATGATGCAGGATTAACAACACTGTAACAAACAAGAAATACATCAGTTTGAGGATATGATAATGGACGAAGACGATCATAATCTAAAAAAATTTGTAATAAATTTTATATTTGATTGATTTCAATAATACCTTCTTGTCCGGCCTAACAAAGAAAAAAAAAGAACATGATTAAATACGAATAAAAAATGAAACGATTAATTACTGTATCCCATAGACCGAGATTAACTGGTTCATTATCGACCATTATATTAGCTGAATAGTTGTCAAATCTATAGATGAAAATGATCGATTAATTTTTATCGTAGAATATTATATTCAACTTACACTGTTGGGATATATTCACCCGGACTAATATTTAAATAAGAAACAATAGATCATTGATATATTATAGTTAGTAATAGAATACTTACAAAGCATTGGTGGTATAGGACATGAGTAGACAAGTTTTACCTACAGCACCATCACCAACAACAACACATTTAACATTTCGATAAATACTCATTTGATAAAATCAGTTGATATAATCTTTTAAACAATTCACACAATTTTTCTCAATTAGAGAAACAAGAATAATGCTTTTTTTGCAGTTCACACATCAATGCTAAAGAAAAAAAAAAGGGAAAAAAAAGAAGTATATATGTGTGAGAGTATATGTTCGCATTTTATTCTGCTCGTTCTGTAGTTGTGAGAGAGTTCATCGGTCTATGCCTCGTTCGTCCATCAACGAACACAAGCAAACATACGGTCAAACGAGTAGTGACGACCGATTCCTTTACAGTAAATTCTACTCACTGTGAATGACTTTTTTTGCGTTCGGGCATGAATATACATCTGTTCTCTTTCTTTTTCTCTCATCCTACGATCCGCCTACTAGAAAATGACTCTTTTTGCAACAACTAGAAGAAAGATGAAGCAGATGTTAGAGTACAAACCCCTATGATAATAGATCAAAGCCAATCATCATCTATAATTTCTAATAAAAGATCACTTAAAAATAAATAAAAGATTTGCAATAAAAACGTATTTCCGTAGTGTGACATCAATTCAGTTCTATGAAAATTCTTTGTAATACAACATCTTGCATCAATAGAAATTAATCTATTTATTTTTCTAATGAAAATATTTTTGTACAATTTTAATAAACGAACAAAAGATGAATTCTAATTCAATAATATGATGCAATAAGATTTTTTATTATAATAAAATCAAATATATTTTGAAAAGTATTATTGTATATGCGAAAAAATATTTTTTCATTTTCAATTCTTAGTCTGTGAATATATATTCTGTGATGTGATAGAAAACAATAAAAAGATAAATCGAAATATTTTTTACAATCACATGACGCATTAAAATTATTCATTATGGTGAGAAAAAATAAAGATGATATTCTTTTCGTCGACAACTAAATTTCATATTGAATAATTCCAGAGTTTAAAAATATAGTTTTTGAATAAAAATGAACTTATAAAAATATGCACTCTGTCATATTTATATCTAAAACATAATATTGAACAATTACTATTCGAGACTATATAATTATTAGATTTATATTATGAAGTTATCGTCTTTTTAAATTACTTATATTTGTTCCTATGTCAATATTATCTTAGAATAAATATAGCTTCTCTATTTTATTGAAAATAGTCGTATAAAACGATTTTATCATCAAATAATCTTATCATTTTTCATCTATTATACGTACGAGAAACATGCAAAAATATCAGCAACGATTACTTGTTTTCGTTCTATTCATTACAACTACATATGCAGATACAAAAATCCAATCTTTTGGTCCGCTTAGTGTTGTTAAAAAAACTGGTGATCTATCCAGTGTTTATCCTACTCATATCGAGTTAGTTTATCTTTATTTTTCAAGTTTATTTAATTCATTTGTACATATAATTCTAGGGTAGGAGCGAAAGTTACAGAATGTTCAAAATCAACATCAACATGTGAATGTAGTGTAAAAACCACTGGAATAGATGATGATCCAGTACCTTTAACGTTTACAGCAGAAAGCGAGGACTTAGGTTCTGCACAGATTTCGAATCTTCGACCGCTGACAAAATATACATTTACTTTGACATGTAGTTTTAGTGCTACTGAAACTGAAACTAAGACTGAAACTATTATAACAGATTATGATCGTCCATTACCACCAAAAAATGTCGCAGCATCATTAGTTTTCAAAAAGATTATCATTACGTGGCAACATGAAACAACATCGAGCATCCCAATTAATTTTTATAAGATAATATTTGATGGCAAACATACTACAAATCTCACGAATGACAGAACTTCATTTGAAATACCTAATGACTATGAATATAATACTAAACATACAATTAATGTTCAAGCTTGTAATATAAACAATCAAAAACATGCAGTTTGTTCACGTCTAGAAGGAAATGAAGAGAAATTTCAACAAACAGCGCCAACAGATGCTCCAACCACCACTATTGCCGCTACTGCCGGTCCCACTCCAACAGAAATGACATCACCACCAGCATCAGCAACATCAGCAGCAACAACAACAAGTACTCCTACATCGACAAAATCTATCGGAGTTCATTCTTATACAATTTCTATTCCAATAATTATTTTTTCTCTCTTTTTCTTTTTATTAAAGTAAACTGATAGAAAAATAACTATTGTTAACATTCTGTTAAATTTCCTTTTTAAATTCACAATAAATATTATTTAACCTTGCGTAAAGAATTGATTGATTAGTTTTATTTAATTTTCTTTCTAAATTGTTGACAACATGGAATTTTTCGTATATTTTATTGTAGTTATATATAAATAATAAAAGAACTTATCTGAACTCAAAATTGTTTTAAGTATACGTATTCATAAGAAAATAATTTAATTTCGTTTGTCATTTGTAAGATAAATAATTTCTTCTTTATTCCATTCCTTTATAGATTTAGAAGATATTAGAATCGACTAAAGAAGTTCTTGATAATCAATACTATTGGACTAGAAATGATTTGAAAACTGTTCTTCATAAATTCTGTGAAAATAATTGTAAAAAAGATATTGATAATATTATACGTTAGAATAGAAGATTTTTAAATAAGTTCTGAACATCAATGTTACGAAGTTCAATTATAATCATAATAAACTTTAATGAATTCAAGCATTAGCAGCATTTTCTGATTATATAAGTATTATAATATAAAACTTTTCAATTTGCTCACTCAAATAACTGAAATACACACAAAAATAACCATATTCAGATGATTTCAACAATAGATCTTCTATCATCGAATATACGATAGAATTTATTGCAGTAAAGTGGGATCCCCGTACTTTCTTCAATAAGATTTTTGTTAGTTGATGAGTATTCGTTGAACTTCAGTCGCTTGTCACAGAATAATATGAATGCAGGATACATATGAGAACTGATATGTCGGAATATATCTTATTGTTTTCAAATATGAATGTAGTTATAAAGGGACTTTCGTTATCTATAGAATATAATGCATTCAAAAATAAAGATCTCACAATAATTCTTCTGAGTTTCAATTTCAGTATGGTTTTTGGATATTTTTTTGAAATTGTAATTAAAACATCTGCTATCTTTTTCAATCTAGAGACTCTTTGACTATAATCTGTAAAGGGTTCGAACAGCAATAGCGTGATTAGAGCTGTGCAAGGATTGTTATAATATTTTTTTCAAGAGAGTAACGAAGGCATATCGGATATTCGCCAATTGGTGAAAGTTTGCTGGCAAAATACGGATAAGCCAGTATAGTTAGATGAATACGAATCATGTATTGAAAATATTTACATTCCTTCTTATAGAATAATCACAAGTTGCAATATTTTATTTATCTTTTATAGATAACTTCCATTCTATCTTGACAGATTACATCAGAAAAATCTTTTTAACAACTTTCCTCCGGTTTATATATTTGATTAAGTCCTCAATAACTATTCATATATATTATCTCATATGAAGATTTCATTTTTAGCACCAAACGTTTATAAAAATTATAGGATTTCAATTTTTCTTCGTAAACAACTTGAAGCTTAGACGCAACAGTAAATAGAAAATGCAAAACAAAGACGATAAGAATAACTTGATTTAATTGATTTTCACTCGATTCATAGAATACTAATGATTATATTACCTTGAAAAATATTAGTAAGTCAAAATTTTTAGATAATGATTTGTACTTGCTTGAAGTTAAAATGATATTTGATTCATTCGTTGTATCTTTATCATTGAATTAAGAAAATTAATGAAAGGAAAGCTTTATTTGTTTTTTCTTTTTGTCTCATCACTTTTAAAAAACAAACCTATAAACTAACGTGATTTGTACAATAGATTTTTGTTTTCTTTGAAAATCTTCAAATCAAACAAACAAGTACATAACCATTTTGCATACAATAACAAGTGTACATTTAATAAGTTCGTTATAAAGGTCAATTCTTCAGAAAAGGAAACAAATAAAAGCAAAAAAAAAATGTCATGATCAACAAGGAAAAAAAAGTACACTTGTGCATTGTTTTAGACAAAAATAAAAGTAAAAGCTACAAACAAATGCATAGCAAATAAAAAAGAACGAATGAAAGAAAATCATTTAGTTTGTTTTTCCAGACTCATCTGTTCGAGTCGTTCCCATAATTTTATTCGATCTTCTTCTTTATTCACTAATCTATATAATAATACACAAAACAAAAATAGTATTTTTTCAAATCAAAGAAAATTCTTACTTTTCTTCTTCAGCTCGTAATGTGTTTAATACATCATCACATAATTTTTTATTAATATCCATTAGATTTTTCAATAAATTATATGTTAATGTTATTATATTTGTATTCCAATGTGTTTTAGATATTCGACATAATGGTGGAAGTAATATAGGTAAAATTTGTTCAAGATTTTCTTCAATCATTTGCACAACATATTCATTTGACCATAAAGCTAATGATCGTTCAGCTACCTAGAAGAAAATAGTTTGAAATTAATGAGAAAAAATCTGACAGACATTTTTATGAATTAATGATAATATTAGAAAAAAAAGGAAGTCAAATTAAAATCTTATTATCAGCTTAGATGATCTCAGTTGAAATTATAATAAAGTTTATTAAATCAACTATAAAATTAGGTCAATTCATATGAGAGAGAAAAAAACTGAATAATAAATAGTAATTAACTCAATTAGGATATGTAAAATTCTTTCATATTTAATTTATTTACTTGAAAATGTGATGATGTAGCTGAACGTGTAATTTGCTTAAACAATGGTACACAAACACTTTTAAATACTTGTGAATCGATTATATCGAGAATTTCTTCAAGTTCATTAAGAAATAAAACCTAAAGAAAATGATCACATAATATTATTTTAGAAATAATAAAAACAAGTTTTTCTAATTGATACTTCTTTAGTTGAGCATGTTTTTGGCCAATATTTAATTAAACTTTTTATTATTAATTCACCTAATAGAGTTTCTTTTTCAATAAATTGTACAACACAATATGTTAACTATGAATAAATCAATAAATTTAAACTATTAAAAATATAAAATTCTATTTACTTGTGGATGAAATAAACTTAATGAATGAGTTTTATGTAATGGTAAAAGTACACGTTCAAGGAATACTTTATGCTCTTCTTTTAATGGTACTGCAAAACCATTAATAATACTAAAAATAATATCTGTGAAAAATATTTGTTTTCTCTTTCAAATAAAATACCTTCCAAGAATTTCAAGAAGTTCAGCAAGACCATTAAAGCGTTCAAATTCATAAATATACCTTCAAAATAAAAAATATTATAATTAAAATAATCTAAAAAAAGACTTTTTTTATACGATTCAAATAGAGAGAGAGAGAGTATCACGATGGAGGAAATAATCATTTATAATCTCATGATTCAAATCCAAAATAGATCTAAGTGTTCTTGAATTTATTAACTTAATTAAATTATTCAGTAAGAAAATGGTAATCATGTTGATTATTATTCTATTAATGATAATATCCGATATTTGAACTAATATTTCCTAATCAATGAATGACTTTTCATATATGCGAATTTGTACTAGATGATTATTCTTTTTTTTGGAAATCTTCCATGTTTAATATCCTATTTTATTCTATTCTAATATAAAAAGAATTCAAACCTTAAAAATATATTGTTAATTTGTTTTCGAATAAATGCTCTTAAACCAAGAAATTTTCCATAAATTCGATGAAGAATTGTCTTTAAAAAATCTCTTTCACGTGGATCTTCACTATCAAATAATTCCAATAACTAAAATTAAAAATAAAAATTTTCAATATCTTCATATAAAATTTTTCTTTTTTATACTTGTAAAACAAATTTTTGATCAATATATTTTTTTGCTATATTTGGTTGAAAATCTAATGATTCCAAAAAACGTAGAAAAAATTCATAAACTATTTGTGTATGCGGCCATGATGCTTCTAATGTTGGTTCCTCATCTTCAACACCTGCTTCTTCTGATAAGCTATCCGAACCAGCTGGTGGTAATATACGAAAAAGATTTATTGATACCTATATTATAATTAAAAATAAAAAAAAACTCTTTTTTTTATTTTTTGGCTTTTCAAATAAAATAACAAACCATTGTAATCACTTCTGGATAAATATTTTCTGTTAAACAGCTCCTTGTTACGGTTATATAATCAACAATTTCATTGAGACAAGCTCGTTTAATTTCTTTACTTTTAAGATCACTAACACAATCAGAAAAGTCAAATAAAGTACAGCATTGTTTTAATTTATCAATAAATAATTTTTCTTGTTGATCAGAAGGAGTTTCTAAAGCAAAAAAAAATGATACATTATTATTTATTTTTTGAATAAATAATGTGCTATTTGTACTAAAGAAATCAAACAAGTTTAGAAAACTTAGAAATTCAATGTCAAAACGATAAAAAAACAAAATAGTTTGTCAATTTTTTAGTTTTTATATGGTCCATTAATCCAAGGATATATTTTTACTATTGATTTTATATTGTAAGTTTTCAAGAAAAAAGACTTGTATGCAAAAGAAAAATCAATAGAATATCATTTAATTGATAAGTATTTCAATAAAGAAAAAAAATTACAAGCCTACGCTTGATATACATATGCATTTTATGAGACTTTGTTATGGTTACAGTCTGTATATGTTTTATTTGTGGACTATTATCTTATATGAAAGATCAAATTACCAATATAAACGAAGAAAATGAGAAAACTATGGTACAGTATATTCAGCTAAGATACAAAATGAGTATTTTATTTATTTTAATTAATTAGAATATATAGAGGATCATTAGTTAATCTTATATAATAAAAAATCTAAGAAATACCTTTCAATGATGGTAAAGCCTCAAGTTCTTGAAAGTGATTTTTCTGTCCAAGACGTGATGATTCTTGTAATCGTTTTTTGCGTGTTCGAATAGTTTGTTTTTTATAAAACGGATCATTTGCTGGTAAATGTAATGACATCTTCTTACATCGATATCTCTAAAATCAAAAATTGAAATATATATTTTATGTTTACATATATCAAACATATTACGAATATAAAACATATCAATTAGGATATAATAACATTTCTTTTTCTTAGTTGTCAAGATCTAATCCAATATAAACTAACAATCTAGATGTCGTTGATTTATTTCAAGTTACTTCTTATTCAAACTATTGATGGGATAATAAATATTAACTATTTCAATGTAGAAATAAATTTATATAATTCAAATTCATTATTTAAATTTTTATTACGGTATGTTATAATTTGAAAAATCGTTCTGAGACAAAGAAAAAGGAATTCTTGCCTTTCTTATATTGAAGTTTTATTCTTCTTTAAATATATAAAGAATTAATAATCTTTTTTTTATTTATTTCTAAAATAGAATTAAATCTATATTTGCATCATGATTAAAAAAGTTTTTTTTCTCTTTTTGATTGTATGTCATTCATGCAGTATAGAAATAAATCAACTGTCTTAGCTTCTCTGACATAGTTTCTAGAATGAAGACGATATGAATAAGAAAGGAATGGCTTTTTTAGTAAATAAATGAAAATATATACCAGAGTTAAGTGATTAAAAATACTTGTATCATTAAACTAAATTCAGATTTATAAATAAGAATGATATTGAAATTATCAGTAGAATCCTTTGATATATGAGTTATTATTCTTACGTACGATACTATGGAAGAAAACGATGACACAGTGAATATTTTCGAAAATAGAAAGTAATTATTCATTGTATAGTTGATTAAGATATCAACTGACTTAAGAAAAAGAGAAGGTCTATTTTGTTGCAACTATAATAGATTAAAGAGTGTTTCGCGTACTATATTGAATTCTTACGACATATATACTCTTTATTAAATCTTTTGAGAAGAACAGTAAATTTTTGTTGTTGTATACATATTACTTCTTTCAATATCTATAGTTCATCTATTTCATTACGTATCATTTAGACTTCTTAACAACAACAATGCTATAATATAATATGCGATGTAATCAATGATAGATTCTATGTAATAAGTATGTTCTCCCATGAAATATGTTGATAGTGAGTGTCTTAGTCGTGAGAATGAACGTGGAATGTACATATGATAACATCATAAATTACAGAATATGTAACTGAAGTTATTCTTCATATTGTAGTTGAATGTAACTTGTATATAAAATATTGTTGATGAAAGGGATGTGACGATATTTCATGAATGGCCTATCATCTGACTGGTGTATCAGCCAGATTTAGAAGCTTATCTACAAAAGCATTTTAGAGTTATTACAGTACACATTGTTTAGATTTTGTACCAAAGAATCTAACTCATATATCATCAAATATTTCAAGTACTTTAAACTGAATACATGATAATGTTAGTTTCGTGAGAGTTTGTTACAAAAATTATGAGTACTGATGGAAGATTAAAACTTGTGTCCTTAGTAAACAATACGTACATTGTTTACATATGTATTCGTAATTAATTATGCATTAATGAAAAAAGCATTTGCATAGATTGATCAAGAAGGTAAACGTTCAGCAAGAAAAACTAATGGATTCTTAAAACAAGTAGATCAATTTTTGGATTACAAAATGTTGATAATTTCTTCGATGTCTTTTGAATTGATTAAAGTACTTCTCAACAACAATAGTTTTTAATTAAAAACTAATATTGAATTCCATTGTCATTGTTACATCTTCCGATCTCTTAATTCTTTTCACCATCAAAGAAGTGTCCTGTGCTTGACATCATGTGAAAAATAATTCACAAGATATTTCATCTATGTTAGAAACTCTAGAACAACACTTAATAATAATTAAAAATGACAAATAATGTATAATCTACGACCAAATTATTCAAGCTGAAATTAAATTAATGACATATGAATTACTATTATGACATTCTCGAAAAACACCTTCAAGGTTGATAGATTTTTTCCCAACATCTAATTTTATCAATATCATAAATTGTTATGGTTGTATTTGATAATAACGAGAAACTAATCCAATTCAAGGAGAAATCCTTTATCCTTCACAAAGACAAAAACAATTGGTTTCTTAGACAAACATCATTTCACAAAATAAGTCTAAAAGGCTTAGAGACACAAATATTCTATTAGAGTTTGTTGATATATTCAATTGATGAAGCTCTTCTTCTTTTGATAATTGCTAAACGCGACATTTATAATAAGAGATATACCGTGCACTGTTTTTTTCTTATCTGCATATTTTTATTATCATATTCGTCTATTTCTTTCAATACTGGATGTCAGATCCCAATTTCTTTTAATTCATTAGAAATTCGTTTTCATTTTATTTAATCAAAGAGAACAAGTAGAAGAAGAAAAAAAAGAAAAGAAATATCTGAATAGAAGAAGAAAAAGAAAAGAAAAAAATAAATTGTTTTTTTTCAGCTATTTATCTTCATTTCACATGTAATACAAGTACGAACGTAATATATCAACAGATAGACGAACACTGTGTAGGAAAAGAAAACTTATTTATCGGAATAGAAGTAGAAGAAGAGGATACGATCACAATTGTTTTTATTTTTATTTTAGACAATAAACAAAATCTTGACCATAGGTCAAAAAGACAAAAAAGAAACAAACGAAACAATCAAAAATGCTCAACCTAGAAAAAAAATACATAGAAGAGATTTTTATTTAATTTTCTTCTATTTTTCAAATAAATTAATTTACCTTAAATCGCCATGTTCCTGTATAAACATCATAATCAAGAAATTTTCCATGAAATTTTTTTGTCATATCACGTAAATAATTTCCATAATTCATTTCAATTAATCTGTCAGGATCAGTTACTTCTTCACCACTATTTGATATTGAACGATCAATTGGATAAACACCTAATAAAGATATAATTGCTTGACAATTGAGTTCTTCACCTTCAGCTGGTTTATTATTATCATTGGGATAAACAGTTACTTGTCTACGACCAATTTCAACTAAAAAAATTTCTTTATTTTTAATTTAATATATGAATTTATATTTACTTAATTGATTGAGATCAAGACCAGCTAAATTTATTTTTGAACCTTGAAATGTAACAGAACCATAATGTTCTCTTCCAACTGTAAATTCTTTTACAAAACATTGTCCTTGTTCATTAAAATAATGACGTAATTCATCAATTGTTGGTTGTGTATAATAATCATCATGTGTTAATTTAGGTAAACGAAAAGCTCGTTCTTGTTCAAATTTATTTTCATTTCGTTGTATTTGTTTATTATCTTCAGAGATTTGTATATTTTCAATTGCTGGTTTTTTTGATGCTAAATATGCATCATATGTTGCAAATTTTTTCCAACTAGATAAATTATCTGATGTTGGTTTGACAACATATGTATCCGATAAATTTTCTTCTTTTGTTAATACTTCATTATTTGCTCCGCCTCCTCCTCCTCCAAGAACAACTGAACGAATTTTATTCATATCAAGTACACGTGGTCGTTTGATAACATGTGTTTTAGGTAGTTTATTAATTGATGATGATGGTCCATCATCCATCATTAATGAATTGTCATCATCATCATCAAGAAATGAATCAGCTAATTTTCGTTTACCAAATATGGCCATCGATGCATTTGTTGTTGATGATGGTAATAAAACAGATGGTAATGTATGAGAATGAGTTGATAATGGATTAACTAATGTTGATGGAGGTGTTGATGTACTTGATGTAAGAACAGATGGTTTTGTAAGTAGAGGAGAAAATACATTGTTTAATGGATGACCATTACTTGAATCAGGTGCAGTACGAAGACGACTTCGATCAAGACCAATATTAGGCTAAATTAATATAACAATTTTAAATATACATATACAAGTGATGAATTGCGAAACAATAAAAGAAGACGTTTCAAGCGTAGCTTAGATATATTTCTTTCAATGATCTATATGAATAATTTACAATTGTCTTTTAAGTACAAGTGAAATGATACTGATATTGTCACTTCTAAAGTTAAAAATATGAGAATTTCCTGTATTTAGAAATGTGCTCATCATATTCTAGTGGGCGATAAAACATTATACGAGATTTTAGAATGCTCAGTGACGATCTTCTTTTTAATCTATTTCATAATTTTCATTACTTTTATATTTCGTGCAAGAAAGGCAAGTTCACTATTGAATGGTTGTATATTAAGCATTGTTTGAAATAACTGTAGATGAGTTTTTGTATCAATAGATGATTGAGTATTCATTACAGTTGATGTTGTTGTTGGTTGATTCATTGTTGTAAACATTGTAGCTATAAGAAATTAGAAAAAAACATTCTTATGAAATCTATGAATAAATTAAAATTCTACGAGCAGCAGTTGGAGCTGTTGTAGTTGTTGAAAAAAGACTGAATGATGGTGTTGTCGACGTTGTAGCAAATGAAAATGTACCTGAAGTTGCTGGTTTAGAAACTGCAAAACCAAATGAAGAACCTGCTGCTGTTGTTGCAGGAGCAGTAGGAAACAATGAAGTATTACCACCTATAAAAAATAAATTAAGTTATTAAAAAATACAAAGATTTCGTTAAAATTTAATTGTACCAAAACTGAATGCAGGTGCAGTTGTCGTTGTAGCTGCTGCTTGAGGTTGACTACTTCCGAATGAAAATGGTGATATTGAGGTAGCAGGTGCACTAGCAGGCATTGAACTACCAAAAGGTGCAATCTAAAAAGAAAATATTCAATTTTAATTGATTTTGATTTTTCTAGTCAAAATGTATCAAGATTTACCGGATTTGTTGCAGTTGTTATTGATGAACCAAATGAAAATGGTGATGCTGAGGCTGCCGTTGTAGCGGGTGTTGAACCAAACGAAAATGACTATAGATTAAAAAATATTACTTTTAAAAACGTTTTCTATATATATATAAATATCTGTACTAATGTTGGTGCTGTTGCTACCGCTGGCTTATTTCCAAATAAAGACGATGTCAATGTTGATGCTGATGTTGTTGTACTTCCACCAAAAATGTTTGATGTAGTTGTGGTTGCTATTTAATAAAAATAATATAAAAATAAATTTCTTTCATTTTTCAATTATACGATTTATTGTTGTCGATGTTCCACCAAATAAAGGTGTTGTAGATGATGTCGATGGAAATAAACCTGTATTTGCTGCTGGAAATTTTCGATTTTCTATATAATCTTCTAAACGAAGTTCCTGAATATAAAACAAAGAATATTTATTGAAAAAATATGAAAATAAATATGATAGTACGATACCTCCATGGATTTCTTTTCATAGACTGGCATAGCGCATAAATTAAAAATTTTTGTACGAATTTGTACTTGAATGCCATTTTTATTAATTTTATCGATACCAGCAGCAGCATCGAATTTATGAATTGTACCTGTTCCAGTAGATGGAACTGAAAGACTTGTAGAAGCAGGCGTTGCTGCCCCTAAAATGAAAAGAAAATCGTTTTATATAACTAGCTGATGAATTTATTTTGAATATTATATGTAGATAGTTAATGATTGATTACAGTAGAGATTGGTAGGTTTTCGATAATCAATGAAACTCATTTGGCGACAACTTCTAGATCTAATCTCAATTATGCTCGTAATGCTTACAAGAAAATTGTTTCATGTTGAAATTGAATTGTCGTTACAAAGACACAAGTTTTTTCTTTTACTTATTTATATCGATGACTATTGCATGAATCATATTTCTTACACAATTCCGATATTGATGTTTTATTCATCAATTTCTACTTGAAAGAGAGGGAATTGTAGTGTGCTGCGTCTTAAAACTAGAAACATAAATAGAACATTTATCTGTATCATAGCGGCTACAATAGTAAAAATAATTCTATGCCACGTGTCTAGGTATTAGTTTCTACAAAAAAATGCTTCTTTATTAAAACATGAAAAATTTTAAATGAGTCTGTTATTTTGTACCAATATTTTCATATAGCGAACGTTTGACAACATGTTCGATGTACTATGATACTTCAGAAGAAAAAAACAATCTAAATTTGTAACGCATTCATGCGTAAAATAATTATTTTTGGAGAAAATTAGTCTTGGGAAATAAATTCATTTTAATTATCTCATATCTTATCAAAATATAGTAATATCTATACTTGATATTTGTTCTTGATAAAAGGCCATTGAGTTCCAATTTCTTCTGTCATCACTCAATCAAGTTTATGTATACTCAACGTACTCTATCATTTCTATCTTTGAAGATGATTATTTATTCAATTCGGAACTCAATATTCAAACAAAAATAATCATATGTTTACCAAATAAACTTGTCGAAGAAAATGGTGTTGATGTAAGTGTATTAGGTTGTGTTGTTGTTGTATTACCAAATAAAAATCCACTACCCGTTCGAGTTTGATTTATCGGTGTTGTTTGTCCGAATAGACTTGTATTACTTGGTGTTGTTGGAGCAAGATTAAACATAATAATATTTCTGTATGTATATATTTAATTTTTTCCAACAATAATCTGTAAACAAAAAGAAAAAAAAAAGAATAATTTGTTCTCTATTTAAATCATTATTTTATCATTCATTTTGTTCAAACATAAAAAAAAAGAATGAACAATCGATTATATATAAATGTGGTTTACAGAAAAACAAATAGATAATAAATGAATAAACAAGTAATAATAGATATACATATACATAGACAAAACTATTTTTTGATTTATAATCAATATAACTAATTCTAATACTCATCTGATGTTACATGGAAAAAACAAGCGAATAAAGAAGAAATTAAACATAAAGCTTTTATAATTTGATATTTCTGTTTGTCCTATTCTCTTACTGTTCATTTCGAATGACAAAAACAAAACTCCTATCTGTGTGTGTTTTCTTTTTCTATAAATAGTAATAAACATATACAAGAAAAAATGCATCTGCTCATTCTAGACGTAATAATGTCAAGTTATCTGACAGTCCGTAAAGAAAAACATTCATTTTTGGTTTTTTTATGTTATAATATTTTCGAACAGTATTTGACTAGGGAATGAGCTATTCGATCAAATAGAACAGTGAATAAACAAACAAAAAAAGAAACAGAAAAAAATTGAGCACACGTACGATTATATATATTATTAATATTTTTTTAAAAATTTGTCTTAGTCAACTGGGAGATATAACTGAGCAGTAGGTATGTGTGTGTGTGTGTATATATGTATATAGATATATAGATATAGATATAGAAAGCAAAACGACAGATACAAAAAGAAACGAAAGATTTTTTTTATTTCAAAAACGGCCGGAATCGACTTGATGTGATGTTTTTGGAAGTTTTTGAGAATCAATACGAAGATATGATGATGGAACAAAGCCAGTTATACCATCTATTTTTTGTATACGTGTCCATCCATCACCTTGATCATCTTCCAATATTTCAACACATTCACCCGCACTTATTGCTGCTGCATTTACATACTGACAACCATTGTTACCATGACCTAAAATAAAAAAATATACGTATTCAAATTAACGAACTATATTAATGATCTTATTTATAGAGAATTTTATTAAACAGAGATCTATATATTTTCAAAAATTTATTTTCATTTTTATCTTACCATTAAAATCATATAATGCACATGCTTTAACATTCGTTCCACCATTGTTTGGTGGTTGATATAAACTATCGGAATGATCAATGGCATTTGAATTTTCATCATCAATACTTTCATCTTCAAATGAACCATTATGTTCATCAACAGTTATTGTATCTGATGATATTTTTGCTGTCATATTATTTTGATGCAATGTTATTGATGTAACCGATGGTAAACGATGAAATTCTTGTGTTGGTGTTAAATTTTCTGTTATATCCGGTTGACTAAAATAAAAAACAAAAATTCATTTTTATTACTTAATATAGAAAAATACGTAAATAAGAAGAATTTCACATGCTACGATAGGTTTAAGATAATCAACTTCAATGAAATCATAATATATTCAAAATAACTATAAAAAGAAGCAGAAGAAAAATACGAAGAGGCTTTATGAATATACATGCTCATAGGATTAGTTTTATTTTATTCAAAATTTTATATTGAAGAAAATATCCTTTATTTTTAAATTATATAAATAATCGCTAACCAAACCGTTGTTGACCAACGTCGATTAATAGTCATCAATCGATGATTATATTGTGGCGAATAATGTTGTCGAAAATCAAGAAAACTAATAAGGTTTATATGTGAGATAAAAGCAATGTAGCATAACAGGGAAAAATAATTCGTTATCTATCTTTTTTTTTACTATACCTGCGATTCTGTCCTGGTGTACCAGGTTGAGAAGTGCTGCTATTATTATTATTATTACTTATTGATTGATCGGAACCATAATTATTTGTTCGTAAACGTGATGTTGAATCATATTCAGTTGATGCTGGAAGTCGTGTTGGTTCGATTTCAGCGGTATATGACTAAAATATGAAGAATTTTAATCGTTTCGTTTTGTTTTAATTGGATTCTCTTACTTCAAATCGTTTAATTTCTGCTAATAATTTTTCAATATGTTCATCAATGGCAACAATTTGTTGTGCAACATCTTGTTCATCACCAAATTTTGGATTTTCTTGAAAGACAAGTCTCATTTTTGCTAAACCTTCTCTAAAAATTAACAAGAAATTTTTTCTATTTTGTTCATATTTAATAATTTACTTGGCTTTTTGTTCTTTTTCTAATTCACTTTTACAATTTATAATTTGTTCTTGAAATTTTTTCAAACGTTGTGCTGGCGGTAATGTACTATAAGGTGTATTGACTGTTGTTGAATTTGTACTACCATTATTTGTAGGCTAGAAAAAATAATAAAATTAATCAACAATATATATATCTTGTCAAAGAAAATTTTATCAAATCAAATAAAGCATATTTTACTATAATATACATCTAAGAATATGCTTTTTCTTTTTGGATTCTACAAATATCAATATTAAATAGATTGAAATCAATCTTATTTACTTACAAGTATTGTCTATAATAAAGAAAAAATTCGATAGATTCATATAAAATTCGATTCTATTTCTTATGCAATTCAGAATTTTATTCACTTACTTTTCTTTGTGATGAACTTCCAAATATTTTTCTAATTGTACTTGCTGTTCCACCAGTTTTACTTGCTACAGTTTTCCTTGAACCCATTGCTGGTGTTGTCATTAATGTTTGTGTACCATTCACATGTCCACTTGCATTACCCACTGCATATATCGTTGCGACACCGTTTTGATTACTATGATCACTACCTGAACTTCTTAATGTATTTGATCGTGCTAATTCGCCTGGCGAAGGATGATGATGAGAATTAACTAAATTCATATTATAAATTGGTTGTTCATGTCCATTATTATTTCCATTCAATAATAACGATGGAAGATCCATAGCATTTAAATCAATCTATATAAAAAATATTTGAATATATATATATAATTTGATAAGATATCTTGCTATACACTTACTTCTTTTTCATCATCTGGTATAGCATAACCAGATTTATGTTCTTCGATAACAACTTGAGCATCTGTATTAGCATTTAATTGTTCAGCTTGTTTAGTCATTTCATCTAAACATCGTTGTATACGTGGTAGAACTTCTGCATGTGATTGAATAAATTTAACATAAACATCTTTAAGTTCATCTGAACGTTTAGCATCTAATTGTTGTAAATCAGTTAGTATACTGGGCAATTGTCTTTCATGAAATAAACGTTGTGTATCATTAAATAAAGATACTTGAGAAGAATAAATTGCATGTGCATCATCACATGTTTTAGATTTTGATGTCATTGTATCACGAGCTTTTTCCAATTGTGCACGTGATAAATCGAGATCTTCATGAGCTTTTTCATAACTTTCTTTAGCACGACGTGCCGAGTCATGACATTCTTCATATTTTCGTAGTGACTAAAAAACAAAGAAAAATATAAAACTCGAATTCCATTTATCTTCAATATCAAAAACTTCTATTATATGGTATTAGAATATAGGCAATGATTCTTCTTTTCTCGACTTTTCTTTGATTTTTATCATCAATAGTAAACCAAGGCTAACTTTTGAATGACCTTATTTTGTCTATAGCCATTTTTCTATCGATCTGAAACTAGACTCTTAGAATAACCTTGTAATAACTATGAACAAAAAGTTTTAATTGCCTATCAAAATTCGAAATACCATTATTATTATAAAAATTCAAATTCTTTTCTGAACATGACTATAGATAAAATTACAAATTATCTTCGATAAGATATTTAACGATTCTTATGCATGATTGATTTTTATATGTACTTTTCTATCAAATACGAAGGTAAAATCTCTTGTGAATACTTCAATTTGATATTTGCATGAACGAAACGATAATTTTAAAGTACTCTCTATAATTTATGATATTATTGACTAACTGTATGACATTTACATAATATATTTATATCTGAGTAATAGAAAATTTTGTTTTGTATTTGGTAAATATAGATTAATAACATACTTTAATCATTGACTCATGTTGTTTATCAAGTTGACGTTTTATTTTAGTATATTCATCCAAACATTTTTTTCTTTGTTCTCGACATTCTTTTACTGTTATTTGAATTTGTTTTATGGAACGTTCACGAATATTTTCAGCTATTAATTCATGTTGGGAAGCTAAATCTTGTAATTCTTTTAAAGTTGAACAAAATGCAATTGTAAATGTATATCTATTTAACAAAAAAATAAATTTATGTCAATAATTATGAAAATTTTATTTTACTTATTGAAAAATTCTTCTTGATCTTTTAATTTTGGTGTATAAGTTTTCGTTAATTTTTTTAATGCTTTAGCATATTCATCTTCAACTGTACAACGATCTTTAAGAAATGATTCATATTTTTCACAGAATTGTAAACTTTTCTCAGTATATTTTGCTACATTATCAAATTGATCCTAAACAAAAAATAGAAATACATAAATAATTGAAAAGAAAATTTAAAGAATAAAACAAAAATACTAACCCAAAGTTCAACACCCCAACTTTGGTTTAGCATTCTTCTGTTCACTCTATTTTCTTCGTCTTCGATTTATGTGAGATTCGCTTACATAATCATCTAAAAAGGAATGGATATTAATATAACCTTGCCATGTATACCTGTGAATATCGTTCACGTCTGCTGGTGATGGTGCGATAAGCAATGACAAAAGAATAACGAATAATCGTTTACTTTCTCTCTCTCATTAGGGACAAAAGGTCACGTAACGTAGTACGAATAAGCCACTCGTATGCTTTATTATTCTCATGAAACTCATCAATCAATCAAACTAAGAACGTTTGTACTCTACGTTCATCAATAACAAAATTTAGCGGAAAAAAGATATTCTCAATTGATCAAGAAAAAAAAAATGCAAAGTCCGAACTATGGAAAGAATAAACGAACGAACGAATAGAAGAAAAAAAGATATCGGTCAAGACGAAGGTTAAACAAGGTGATGACAGTGGACGTAGAGCATGGGATGATATGAACAAATATAAGACGCCGGCGTTAAGTAAACAATATTCGTTCAAGACAATAGGGGAAAAAAGACAGACAATATAAGGTGATAAAACTTTTGCACGTCGTCTAATAGTCCAGACAAATGATTTAATGAATAGCTTAGTTTTAATCACATAAAAAATATTCCCATTTTAATGTTAATATCGTAAATCGAATGAGTAAAAATAACCAAATAACTATAAAAATCTACACTTGACTTTTACTGTCACTAGTTTATCAAGAATATAAAGAGCAAAATGGAATAAGAATCAATGAGAGGAAAAAAAATGAGAATGCATATGTATAACATCGTTATTTCTTTTATACGTGTTTTTATTGCAAATGAATGCATCTGTCTTTTTTTTTTCAACAACATCAAATAGTTTCATTACACAAGGGCATACAATATCTAATCATTTGATTAGTTAATATAAAGAAAAAAAAAGACGAAGAAGATCCTTGAATATGAATGTATGACGACCTTTTGAATAAATCTACTTTCGAGATAGAGGGAACAAACAAAAAACGATGTTCGCTCGCTCTTCTTTCTTTTCTTATTTCAAGTTCAATCTAACGATGACTCATAGAATTTTCATCTTATCGCCATATATATTTGTTGAACATAGGTCTTTTTTTATATTTTCGAAAAAGAAAATCAAAATTATTCATTTAAATATTTTAATTAGAAAATAAACTAGAAAAGAAAATATTAATTATAAATAATATATTATCATATAATATACAACGCCATCTATCATAATATATAAACGCAGAAATATATCTTTCATTTTGTTTATTATTTCTTCAATTGCAAGTTAAAAAAAAAACAGCATGGATCTAGCAGCCATAAAAGCCGAGATTGATCGTAAACGTAAAAATGTTGAATCGATGAATGTTTTAGTACCGGAGAAGAAATTTTTTCGTCGTGGTGATCTCGAAGCTAAACATGAAGAAGCATATTGGAAAAATTATTATTCAAAAACTGATGACAATTCAAATAAAGCTTCATCTTCAACTGATGATGCAAATGAAAAACTAACAACATCGAATGACAAATTTCAATTACCAGCAAGAACCGATGTTATTAAAAAATTACGTGAACGTAATCAACCGATACTTCTTTTTGGTGAAACAGATCTTGATTCATATAAAAGATTGAGATTATTAGAAACAACAGAACCTGAACTTAAAGGACAACGCAATGATTTTAAAGCTGGTTTGTTAAAACAAATTTTATAATTTATATTTTAAATATTTGTTTTCATTTTTTTTCAATAGCTATGGATAAAATTGATCGAGAATATTTAGCACTTATTCTTCATGCAGATAATCCATCAGCATTAGGAAATGATAGAAGTGATAAAGATGATGAAACTGATGTTGGACCACCAGTTCCAAATCAAACTGAAGAAGTTAAAGAAGAAAGTGGATATGATTTACCAGATATAACTGAACAAATAAAAACTACACGTAAAGGAAATCGAGCTTATGATTGTCAAGTTGTATTAAATTATTTTAAATTTATACTTAAAAAATGGTCACATGAATTAGGTGAACGAGAATTAGAAGAAAAAAAAGCAGTACAAGGTAAAATTGAAACAGCACTTCATTCACAAACATGTGGATATATGAAACCATTATTTCGAAAATTAAAAACCAATACATTACAAGATGATATACTCGAATCATTAATTAATGTTGTTAATTGTGTTTTAAAAAGAAATTATATTCGTGCCAATGAATTTTTTCTTGAAATGGCTATTGGAAATGCACCATGGTAAGATATTTTTTTATAGAATTAGAATATTTACTGATTTATATAAATAAGAATTCATCGATTTAATAGAATTCAGTTATAATAGATTATTATAAGCAAAAAATATCATATAGATTCGAGACTAGAAGTTTGCAAAACTAAACATAATCTGTTCTAAGAAAATAAGACAAATAGTAGAGTATGTATATCTTAATCTGTTAACTTGTGATGAGTTTGATACATTAGATATTGTTTTTAAAAATACTCTGAAACTATTCTTTCGATATTTAACTATTTAATCTTTCTAATTTTCAAGCTTACCTTATATTTTGTTTTTCTTTGCATTTTTATGATTATTTTATCTCGAAAATTATATCTGATTTATCGAATGTAAAAATAGAGATAATTAATCATTTCATGATATTTTCATGGTTAGAAATTCGGATTTATAGAGTATAGCTTTTTGTTTATTTGGTATTTGAAATAAATATAAAACAAAAAAATGTTATTCATAACAGTTATTTCTTTATTTATTTTCTACAGCTTTATCTCCTCGATGTAAACAATATATTATTTCTTGTTATTCATCTATGACTCTTTCAATAACAATATCATAATAAAGTTATTTCTTATTCTTCGTCTTTGTATTCAGATTCTAACCTTCATATAGATTAAGATATAAACATAAAATCTATAATAATTTTCCATTGTTTATTTACATCGACTGGAATGAAAACAAAAATTAGTAAACCTTTTTTTTGTCGTAGGCGAATAAAAGCCACAAAAATTGCATTTAGAATAATGACAATCACGCCCACTAATTATCATTGTTTTCGTTATGAAAAAAACAAAAAGTATTAGCCAATCGTTTTTAATATACGCTTTGTTAATGTTTTCATCTTGTTACGATATTTGATATAAAGCAGAACATTTTTTATATGAAATAATGATTTGTTTTTCTAATCAAAATTAAATGATAAGCTTGACATTTATTATTTCATTTTTGACCCTACAGCTTATTAAGTATAATTATCATCAAGTCTAGTTTTTAGTACTTTCTATTAATATTTTTATACCAGAAATGTAAATCTATATGATTATGATTTATATATATATTAATATTTTATCATTGATCAAATTTTGATTACTAATATCCTATACTTTGAAACAAGATTATTTATCATATGTACTTCTAATCAGTGATTTTTAGTCAGTTGCAATTATCTGATCTTTGTGTGAAATGATTAATGATTTTCATACAATATATTCATATATCTAATATATTATCATAAATAATATTTATTATAGTTAATTACCGTTTTGGCTTGATTTCCAAGCAATAATAAGTTTCAATTTTCCAGTCATCAAAACCTAATGTAGAGATATAAACAGTAAAAAAACAGATAAGTTAACATACATAATACACCTGGATATGTATCGAACGTTGAAGAGAGAGAGAGAGAGAGATAGAGAGGAGGAGGAAAGAAAGGAATGTTATGATTAAGATTTTTTTTTATTCATGTAGGAAATATTAACATTTTTTTGATAACGTTAATATTTTGATTTTAATCTATTTTTTAGGCCTCTTGGTGCTACTATGGTTGGTATTCATCCACGTCCGGGTCGTGAAAAAATTGCTTCAAAACATGTTGCACACGTACTTAATGATGAAACACAACGTAAATATATTCAAGCAGTAAAACGTCTCGTAAGTCGAGCACAAAAATTATATCCAAATGATCCGTCACGGTGTGTTGATTATGGACAACGTAATGATAATGTCACTATTATCCCTAGTGGACATACTTAAGAAAAATAATGTGTATAATTTTATTTTTTTGTTATCGTTTTTTTTGCCTATCATAATGTGCACTGATGTGTAACATGATAGTGTTTACGTGTCTATATGATTTGACGTGTAATTTTTCTCATATGCGGTCTCTGTTTCTGTATTTATATTCGAAATAAAAAACATTATAAAGTACGAAATTAAAAGAGTAGAAACGATTTATGCTTTATTCATAAAAAAAAAGAAGAAGAAGAAGAAAAAGAAAAAGAAGAGAACCTTCATATAATATCTGGTTGCTACTACTGATGAATACAACATCCCTTGCTTTCCAAAAAATATATTATCTAGAGCTAAATAGAAACAAAGCGGATATATTATTCATGGTTCTCTTCTACAGTATATATTTTTTGTTAACGTTAGTGTTTAGATGATGAATGTTTAAACATAAAAACAGAAGGCAGGATGACAACCCATTGGTGGCATTGTCTGAGAACGACCATCACCACCAACGCTGAAAACGAGAGGTGCTTGATGTTGTTGTGCTTGTGTAAATTGTGCTTGTTGAAATTGTTGTTGAGGTTGTTGTTGTTGATATTGTTGTTGAGGTTGTTGGTATTGTTGTTGAGGTTGTTGATATTGTTGTTGAGGTTGTTGATATTGTTGTTGAGGTTGTTGATAATGTTGTTGAGGTTGTTGAGGTTGTTGTTGTTGTTGTTGCTGATAACCACCGGCAGCACCGAAATTAGGAGTACTAGAACCATAGGCAGCACCTTGAGCACCAAAATTAGGGGTATGAGAACCAAAACCAGCACCACCTTGAGCACCGAAGTTAGGGGTGCTAGTACCATAGGCAGCACCTTGAGCACCAAAATTAGCGGCACCAGTACCATAAGCAGCACTAGCTGCTCCAGCACCATAACTACCGTTAGCAGCTCCAGAACCAAAACTAGCATTGGCAGCTCCAGAGCCATAACTAGCAGCACCAGAACTGTGCTCAGCGCCACTTGAACCATAACCACCAACAGGGGAACCGAAACCATTGCCACCGACAGCGGCACCGGCACCTGCTCCATTAGAATAACTTGGACCAGATGGTTGATAACCACCAGCAGCTTGTTGAATATTGCTATAACTTCCGGCTCCTGAAATATCAGTACCTGATGCACCACAACCGGCAGGTGCATTTGGTGGTTGAGCAGGAGTATTACCACCTCTTGGTGGTACACGAATGCAACGTTTAATCACTTGAGGTGGTCCGGCTGGTTCAACTACAGTTCTTTCTTGAAGACGTGGTGGTGGTGTTGTGGGTATTTCTGTTATTTCTTCTACACATTCAGCTGCAGTACGTTGAATATAACTATATTTAAAAATAAGAAAGAAAATATATTTTGAAATATATTGAAAGATTGTATATTATACTAACACTCGTTCGAGTATATCAGGTTCAGGAGTTGGGAGACGTCGACGTATTTGACGTGGTGGTCCTGCAGGCTGTTCAGGACAACGAATAACTTGTCTACGATGACGAGCTTGTCGACGTTCACCAGCAGGAGGACAACCGATCGAACCACCACTTCCAGCATAAGATGCACCTGCACCTCCATACAATCCATTCGAAGCGCCACCATTTGATCCATTGGCAGCACCACCTCCATATGATCCATTGGCAGCACCACCTCCATATGATCCACTTGCAGGACCGACACCACCTCCGTATGATCCATTTCCAGCACCGACACCATTAGCACCAACGCCACCAGCAGCACCTCCATATGCGAAACCACTTTCAGCGGAAAATTGTTGATATGAACCAGTACCTACTGGACCTTCTGGTCGACCACTAGTTCGACGGCCACCAGCTGTTGATGCACTACGTGTACTTGATGATGAACTACTGCGTTGAATACGATGACGCTCATTACGACCATTACGATCAATATTATCGACTTGAGACGATGATCGTTGTTGTGTTAGTTGACTTTGAGTCGGTGATATCCGGCGTACGCTTTCAACTGCTAAAGATTGTACAGATCGAGCGTCACCTTGATCTCCACGTGATTGTTCAGAAATTATACTCATGTTTGTAATAGACAAAGTTTATATCTTTCTACAAATAAGTAACCTTTGATTCCAATAAATAGGCAAATAAAGTAAGAGAGAGAAAAAAAAGTGGTTTTCGTGAAAAGGGAAAATGAAGAAGGATAGAAGTGCGACTCTTACCTGTAGGGTAATTGTGGTTAATAGTTGGCCACTGTACAATACAAGCTATTAGTGACGCACAGTGGAAATGATAGGCAAAAAATATAGAGAGAAGAAAAAGAGACGTTGAAGGCCGTCAATATTTATATGTAGAGAGAGAGAGAAACATAGGCGAAAAACCGTATGTCGATATCCTCTGTGATTATTCAAGGAGAACAAAATACATAAACATAGAAATATCTACCACTACCTGTTTATGCGTATACGTGTGTTTTTTTGGTTTGATAAGTATAAAATACCAATCGATCTATGAAAAGAGAATATGCAAAACATTATGAAAGAAACAACATCAATAATGTGATAAAAATGATGATGATGATGATGACGATAATAATGATGATTTATAATGACGATGATGATGCACCCGAAATGATGGTCTAATAATCATACATATGTGCAAATTCATAAAATAGTCGTAAACAGATGACTATCTTTAAATATACGATACATAATATATTTACGATACAAAACATTAACTTACTAATATTTAATTTAAAATAATAAATAATACAAAAACATATAATAAATTTAAAAATAATAAAGCAAAACAAATATCTTAATTAATCGCGTTCTATTTAAAATTGAAATTTAAAATATGTATTCATGTAACCATTGCCATCTATCGATAAAGAAATAAAGGATATCATATAAATTTTAATTCGTTATTTCACTCAACCATCACCATAAATAGATTGTCCCATAAAAAAAGAACATTTCGTTTTTTTGAAATAAAACATAAATGCTTTGCTTATTCTTATTATAATACAAATACAATACTAAATTAAATTTCTATCGTTATATTATAAATCTTAGATAATTATCATTAAATAAATAAAAAATTTCTTTTTTTTTGTTAAATATCTCAATTTGTTAATACTATTAAGATATATATATGTTTTAGACATACATGATGCTTGGTAATGGCTGAAAAAGTATCACTATCAACTTATCCATATTTAACAGAATCAACAAATGTAATTATTGAGTATCCCGAAGATGTCGATGGAGAAATTGAAAATGATGAAATAAATCATGTAGGATATCCACTAGTACAACAACAACCATCAATTTTATATAGTTATAATAATGGTCATCAACATTTTTCTCCACCGGTATCATCATCATCACGGCCAGCACAATTTGATTTATTATTAGGTGATGATGAAGATGATGGTGAACATAATTCAGCATTATTACTTAATTTAACACCACCAACACCTGTAACTATTCAACGTGTATCATCTGAAGATGAAATGAATTTATATCTCAAACGTAAACGTGCTAAATTTATAGGACCATATTTATTTGGTGATGTTATTGGGCAAGGTTCATATGCTAAAGTAAAAGAATGTTTAGATCGTCGAAATCTATGTCGACGCGCTGTTAAAATTATGCAACGTCGTCGTTTACGTAAAACTCCACATGGAGAAAAAATGGCTGCAACAGAAATTCGTATATTAAAAAAGTTAAATCATCCAAATATAATTAAATTATATGATTTTATTCGAAATGATGAAAAACAAAAATTATATTTATTTATTGATTTATGTGTTGTTTCATTACAAGAAATGTTAGATGCTGATATACAACAACCAGTACATAGAACTAAAGTATTTCCAATTTGGCAAGCACATGGATATTTTATTCAATTAATTAGTGGATTAGAATATTTACATTCAAAATTTATTATTCATAATGATATTAAGTATGTATTAAGAATATAAGAAATATAAGAAAATATTGATTTTTTTTTAGACCGGGTAATTTATTGATTACTGTTGAACATCAACTTAAAATAACAGATTTTGGTACAGCTGAACAACTTGATATGTAAGTTACATTTCTAAGAAGAAAAAATTTGTTTATTTTGATATTTAGGTTTAGTCCTGATGATACAATCAAAAGAAGTCAAGGTTTGTTTCGATTATCTTTAATTGGTCGTTCAATCAATTTAATGAGTCTTCTCTATTACAGAAGAATATCTTGAGATTTATTTTAAACTAATCTAGAAATATTAAAACAGACAAGTTTCGAGTTTGCCTGTGACTAAGAAATGATATATATACACAGGAGTTTTTTTCTTCTTCGTCATCAAATATTGACAATCTTCAAATTTTGAAAGAAACAGTTGCAATTTATTTGAGACTATGTATCAGATATACGTTTATTTCTTGAGTTTTTTATTATATGATGTTAAAAATAATTCGAATGATGTCTATAATAAAAAGTAAAAATGCCGGAAAAGATTAGAAAATTGTATTCATTTTTGTTAATGATGAATATAAAATAGAACTTAAAAAGTTCGATGTCACGCTAAATGTCACGCAAGATTTTTTTTACCTTGTTTGACGTATAATTCTCTGTAGGCATGACTGTTTAAGATGAAATTTTGATCACTCTACTTTCTCATTGGGGTTAACTAGCTCTTAAAAGATCAAGGTCACATAATGTGTCGTTCGTGAATAAGAAAAAATTTAGTATCAATATGTCACGCGATTTTATAACATATTTAATATTTCATAACTAAGGTCAACATAAAAACACTGCTTCAGATTACATACATTTTATCTTTCACATATGGTATTGTATTTACACAGCCATATGTGTATAGAGTACATAGTATTCATTAGAAAAAAAAATTATCTGATATAAATAATGTTACATTATGAATATTTGTCATAAAACATACTATTATTGTTATGTAGTCGAGTTTTGTTTTATCAAATTGTTAACTTTAGCTATATTTAAATAGATATTGTAAAATAAATAAGCCGTCTCGTTGAAAGTTTGATCTAAATATTAAGAGGATCATTTGATATATAATGAATTGAGCTAGAGATTAACTTTCTTTTTTCTCTAAAATCTATTGAATATAATGAAGAGTAGACTTTTAAGAGGCTCTCGGAACTGCTATCAGAGCTATTTAATTCTATATTCCTCAATTTAATTAGACGAATAATCATATAAATTATCATTGATCAATAGCGAAAGACTTATGTCAAATTTTAGTATAATCATTGATAATAGAATTTAAAATTATAATATTAATTAAACGAAATCAATAAAATTATCTAAAATATATAGGTACTCCTGCATTCCAATGTCCTGAAATAGCTAATGGTGATGATACTTATAGTGGTTTTTCTATTGATATATGGTCATGTGGTGTAACATTATATAATTTAGTCACTGGTCGTTTACCATTTGAAGCGGATAATATATATTTATTATTTCAAGCAATTGGTACAGGTCTTTATACAATCCCTGATGATATTGAACCGCATTTAACATCACTTATACATGGTTTATTACATATTAATAAAAGTGTACGTTTTACAATCGAACAAATAAAACATCATGATTGGTTTCGACGACGACCACCACGTACATTTGATATTATACCATTTCCTTCACAAGCATTAAATCGTTTTCAAACATTTACAATGTATGATTATTTAACTGAATTACATCAACCATCAGCAGAGAATAGTGAAGAAGGAGGAGAACAACAACAACAACAACAACAAGATAATCTTATTCCTAGTAGTTCAATATCAGTTTTACATTCTCCATATGATAATCCACAAGAAAAAATTGCTTATGAAGAACAACCACCACTACAACGGCAACGTACTGGTCTTTCAAAACTTAGTTGTGGTTGTAGTCGAACTACCAGTACAAATGAAATTCATCAAACAAAAGATCCAAATAGAGAACATAATCGTGTATGTTCTATATCTTGATGCTTGTCCTTATTTCTAGGATGAATAGTAGAATAGGTATAATTGTTTATTTCCTTATTTCATCTATTGTTTCCATTCTTTCTTTCTCTCTCGCTCTCTCTCTCTTACTCGTACATGGATTAAATGATGAAATGTACGTGATACATTCCTTTATGAACTCTGTTTCATTACACACGCACATTCAGAACAGTTGTTTTTTTTTTGTTTGTTTGTTTGTTTGTTTTCTTTTTCATGCACTTGTTGTTACAACAAATGGCAATGATAGACATAAGCGTAAATAATCTATTCAAGATTGTATTACGCTTTTATTTTCTATATGAATGTGTTTTTTGTGTGTGATATAACAGCAGCTAACTGTCTATTGAATTTTTTTTTTGTTGATTAGATTAATGTCTCTTATATTTCTCTATTTCATTTACTTCTTTGCCTTTTTTTTATACATTCAAAATCTAGAATTTGTCATCTGAATTAAAAACACGAACAACAACAACAACAATTAAGTAATGGTTTTAATGATCATTCAAGAAAACATATAAAATAATTGATTTTTTCTATGAATAGTTTTTCTTGTATTCGAATTCCACTAACAATATATGAAGTGAACAAAAAGAGAAGCCGTTAAGATATATATATATATGAGTTTTATTAAACTAACAAAAAAGGAACAATTCCCTCAATGAACAAAAAAGACTGTTAATATTGTAATAATGAAATAGTTATATACTGTTTAATGAATAGAATAATCGATAAATATATATTTAGAAACTTTCCAGTTTTTATTGTTTGAAATGTTTAACACAAATATATGTAATTATGCGGAAAATATGAGCATTGCATTGATTTAGTTAATTTTTAAGAACAAGACCATGTGCTTTATCTGGATTGTTACTATCAGGATTATATTCTCCAAGTTCAAGTCTTTCAGCAAATGTTGATAAATAATTTTCAAAACCTAAAAAGAATAGAAAATTGTTTTTTTGTTAATATATATATTATTCAATTGAAAAAAATCTTACTTCCATATTTAATATCACGAGTTGGTTGATTATGATTCCATTCAATAACTGGTGTTTCTTCTTTTCCATCATCTCCACTTGTTTCAACATAACGTAAATCACTATGTGTTGTTGTTAATTCTAATAATGGAATCATAAATGATGGTTTAAAATCTACAAGCTTATATTTTTGAACATTTTGTTTTTGTTCATTATTCCATTCAATGATTTCATTTAATGGTAACCAACGCCAAGAACCAAATAAACCTGTTGATTCGGTTGATTCACCATTATAATGTGTATAAGCTTCACGTACAGATGGAGGAAATTTTGCACCTAAGATTGACTCTGCTTTATTAAGTTCATCGTTTGTTACAGTAGATTTATTTAATTGACGAAGAACATTAGGTGCATTTTTTGATAACCAAGATTCAATACGTGTAAAAGATTCAGAAACACTCATTCTAAAACTATAATTCAATGGATTAAAAAAACAAACAACATAACGTTAAATATAATAAATAGGCCTTGGAAGTAATATTACCTATGGATAAGAAGAAGAAAAAACAGATATAAGATAGCTATCTCCTAAGGGTACTATTATTATGTGAACCTCGATAAATCCTGATATGAATATAAATAAGACATGAAGCGTATACAAATGTCATCTTTATCGAAAGAAGCAATTTGTGATAACGAGAATAACTATTTTTCGCTCATCTAATTCGAAAACGATGTCTGGGAACTATTAATTCTATTCAAAAGAAAAATATAACACAATATCATTTCATTTATTTATTAATAATAATTAAAAAGAATAAAAAAGTAATCATTTATAATCAAAACAAACATCTACATTGAAAGAAACAAATAGAAGACTATTGGAATTTTTTGACTCAAGCTGTTGATAATAATATTGGTGAATTTTCATCACTTTCGTTACTGGAATGATTAATTCGATGATTAATTCCATCATGTGTACGATAAAGTACATAATGTTGAACAATAAATAAAATATCAAATATAATTGAAAATAATCCTAAACCAAGTTTTGTTGGTGAACCAAATATTGATGACCAATCATTATAATTACTTGCAAGAAAAAACATTTGTAATAAACTCAATGTTCCACCAGTAAAATCTAAAAGAATATTGCCAATTGACCAACCTTCAGTTGATTTTCGTTTATAATTCATCCATGCTTGTGGGCAATATTTAATTATTGTTATAAATAATTTAACATAGGAAAAAAAATATAATAAATTTAATGTTGATAAATGTTTAGATGTTGAAACAATTGTTGATACAAATAAAAATACAAGACATACAGCACCAATAACACGTGCAGTATATGATACACGTTGAGCGCCACGTTCAAAAAATAAACATTGAGCAACAGTTATCAAACATGCAAAAACAGCATGACAACTGAATATTACCTAAAATTTATTACAGTAGAAATAAATAAACAAGCAGAAGAAAGAATTTAGTGAAAACATGAAATATTTATTCAGACTCGAAATTTTTCATAAACTTCAATGTAAATACAAGATTTTCTACGACTTCCATTTCATTAATATGTTTTTGATTTATCTGATTATATTTACGAAATATAAAAAAAAAGAGAACTTACATCATTAAGTAAAACAGGTAAAACACCATGTGGATGTAAAGCAAAATATTCTTGTTGAACAGTCGATGATGTATATAAATAAAGATTAAATACAGAATAACATGAATGTCCAATTATATTTAATGCTAAGAAATCAAAATTAAGTCCAATAACACTTCGACGTTGAAAATTTAATATTATTTGAGGATAAAATGATATTGACCATGCAGCAAAATAAATCCAACCAACAATTTGTACGAATATACTTAGTACATTACTACGTGCTATATCAATAAGAAGATAATCTACTACTGTTGATATATTAACTCGAGATGACTGTGCTGTTATAACAAGATGACCTTGATTACGACCAGTTATAAGAATATTTTGACTTCGATCAGTAGTTGTATCATTTATAAAAGTTATGTCTGGTATGATATCAATATAACCTTGTGAATCATTCAATTTACCATTATAAAGGAATTGAATAGAAATTGGAAAGATAATATCTAATTTAATAAGACGAACATTGACTGATTTTTGGTCACCAACGGCAAGACTAATAGAATTTGGTTTAAAAGAAATCACAGATTCATCTTGATGGGTTACAGTAATAAATAAAAAAATAGAATAAATTACAAATAAATGCATTACATATATCTATATATATATATATCACTTCTAAAAAAATAAATTCATAGGGATATAAATATTCTAACAAAAAAAAATGCTTTATCATATATATCATCATGACTAAGTTTATCAGATTAAAGAACTTTCATATGTCGATAAAAAGAAAAGGTAATTGTTCTGAATATGATAACTAACCTTGTTTGGTAAATATATTTTATTCCAAGATCAACTATAACTCATTCTTTTAATAAACATAGAAAGATTTTTCTTTATATAAACTCAACTTTAAAATTTACTTAGGATCGGATAAGGAATTTATCTTCGTAGTTATTTGTACTATGAATTATATTGTATATTCAATAAAAATGAATCTTTTGAAAATGAATATTTATTTTAATTAATTAAAAATTCTCTTTCGTCTCGTCTATTATATATTAAAGTAAACAAACAAAAAAAAATTTTTAATGGATTTATTCAAGGAACAAATCGAAATGCATCTGTCGCCACATATCATTTGTATATAAAAATGATTTTTTCGAATTTTCTTTTCATATTTTTTCGAAACCTAAATATAAAATTTATGATTAAAGTTCTTTTATTTCTTATAAACAATAATTAAATTAAATTAAATTGATTGTAGCGATCCATTTCTTCGAGTGTCAATTCATCCATCCTAGGCTTCTGCTCTTTTCTCACTTATGATAATGACTATATTTATAGATTATGATCATTATATATACGAAAATATAACTAATTATTTAAATATTTGAAATATATTTCAATCATTTGACTTTTCCTTGATATTGATCTGTTAATATATATCGTTAAACGCCTACGCTTGTGTACTGAATTTGTTTACTTGCGGTTGTCGTTTAATAAATATTTATTATTATGTTTTTTTTTGTATTTTATAGATTTTTCTTTTGTAAAAAATAAAATATTCGTTCGATTTTTTATTTTTCAAAAATAATGTCTTATCTTCATTTGGCATCAGCTGCCAATTCATCTTCATCATCGACGCCGTCGTCTTATTTACATGTGAATAGTAATGGTGGAGTATCAACGGTACCATCGACAATTGGTTCGAATTCGTCATCTCTATTTGGTTCAGTTGGTGGTGGAAAACAATGGACAACTATTGGACAACCATCTTCATCACCATCATCATCAACCTCATCATCACTAGCACAACAATTATTAATGAAACAGCAACAACATCTTCTTAATAATCAACAAACAAATTCATTAAGTTCATCATCGTCATCAACATCACATTTTGAGAATATTCTTGGACTAACTATGGCATCGGCATTATCTTCTCAAACACAAATTGAAAAAAATGTAACAAATAAATATTTATTCAAAGATTTTGTTTTTGAAAAATATTTTGGAATATTATTTTAAAATTCTAGTTTGAATTACAACAAGAAGATTTTCCTCCATTACCACATCGAAGTAATTCTCATGAACCATCATCGTCATCATCTACGAATGTTCCACCACTATATCAAAGTCAATATTCATCAACCCCATCATCATCATCAAATCATCATCAACCAATAACTAATGGATATAGTTCATCTCAACAACAACAACAGCAACATTCTCAATCACAATCACCAATATCATTTAAAACATCAATTGATGCCTTAAGTACATTAATTAGTCGACATCAACCTTCTGTTAATAATAAAACATCATCATTAACAAATAATTCAACATCTTCGTCTTTAACAACAACAGGAACAACACCAAATTCACAACAAGTGTCAAATACATCAACAACATCGAATACCAATGGTCTACCATCATCAACAATTACTGATCAATATGGTCTTGTTGGTCTTTTACAAATAATTCAACAAGCAGAAAAAAATCCTGAGACATCAACGTTACTAAATTGTGATCTGACTACACTCGGACTCAGTATGTATCATCTCATTGCAAATATAATCATTTGACAAAAAAATAAAATCTACAAATAATTTTCATTCATCTATCAATTGAAAACCTTCTATAATCTAATAAATATTTTCTTTATTCAAATAATATTAGATAAATTCCTTATTTTTAAGGTATGGAAAGTCAAAATGATTTATATCCATCATTTCTATCTCCATTCTCTGATAATCAAGCTAGACCATATGAAATTGATTATCAAGTACCATTTGAATATCAAATGGGAATGCAAATACGTGACAAATTACCTTCACTTAATTATGGTACATTAAATGAAGATACATTATTTTTTTTATTTTATTTATTTGGTAATGATCATGTGCAATTATTAGCAGCCGCAGAATTATATCGACGAGATTGGCGCTATCATAAAGAAGAACGTCAATGGTTAACACGAATAAAAAATATAATGCCTGATCAAAAATATGATTCATATGAAATAGGTGTTTATTGTGTATTTGATGTTCAACTTTGGCGTAAAACACATAAAACTATGCGAATTGATTATGATAAATTAGATGGTAGGATAGATTTTTCTATTTAATTTTCATTTAAATACAAATTCTATCTGTCTTTTTTTCTATTCTATTTAAAAAGTAAATCCTGCAGCAAAACAACAACAACAAGAATTAATTGCATCAAAAATTCTTCAACAACAATCGTCTACACAACAACAATATGCGCCTGTATCATCTTATAATTTAAATTCTACGAGATAGTCGCATAAGTTTGATGTTTATTTTTTATTATTATTCATGTATATAATAAGAACATAAAACAGCAAAAAATCTGCAATCGTCCAACAATTTGCAGTTTTAGAAGAATAAGAATGACGTCGAGCAGGCAACAACGTTTTTCTTTTTTTTTTCTTATAACTTGTGTCTTGTCGTTGTCATGTGTAGATGTGTGTGTGAGTGCTGTTATTCTACGTTCTTTTTTTGCGCGCTTTTCTCTCACAGCGTCATACTCTTCTTTCTTTATTTCTTCTTTTGTTCGTCATGGTATCGTCGTCTTATTCACTGTTGTGTTTATCATCATCATCAACATCCTCTACTCTTCTTCTACTTACTTTTGTCCCTGTCTTTTTTTCTCTTCCCTTTTTATAATATATACTACACTATGTGAAAAAAACACGAAATTTTATGTTGCTGATATTGATTGAAATGAAAATATTAGAGCGATTTTTAAAAAAAAAAGTTCATTTCTGGAAATTTTTATTTAATATTGATAAAACATAGTATCGCAGAAAGCCATATAAAATTATAATAATATTTACATTTATTGTTGAATGGTTTTTTTTGCTTCTAGGATCTATGATATTTATTAAAGAATTTTATTTACATAATAGTTTAGTTTTTTGTATGTCAATAATAATATTTTTCACTACCGATCATTGATATATTAGTATACAATTTCTAATTTATATAATAAGTTGAGATAATTGACTCATGTATACATAGAATTCACCCCTACAGCAGAATATAGGTCATGATATGTATAGAACTTAATTGCTATGAGTTGTTTTTTTTACAACAGAATTAAAGATAATAGCTGAAAGGTATACTCTCATAATTTATGTTTTATTGTACAAAAAACATGATTATTGAATTTTTAAAGACAATTTGTTCTTTTTCTCTTATTATTTGATTGATAGAATTGATGTCTTTTCATCGATCATTAATACAAAATAACAGGTCATTTGTTAAATTCAAAAACATATTCCTTAGAGAATAAAACATGCAAAGAACTTTATTAAATAACATTCTTTTTTAGAAATATCGTATTTAAGCACGACTTTTAGATTATAAATGAGTGAACTATCAAGATTTTTGCTTGATTTTCTTTCGTAACATATAGATAACATAAATCATAAACCGGTTCATATAATCTCGATCAATAATTTACGGTTGTAAATATTTAGTGCTATGAATGACATATTGCGTTTTTAATAAAATAATTGTATGTACTACGAAGTATATATATATATATCATAGGTGATCATAAATATGTTGTTATTTCACTGTAAATAAATATTCTTATCACAGCGTAGATTAGAGGTTACAGTACTCGGCAATAGTCAGTAGTATTATAATAAAAAAAGATCACGCATAGTTACCTAGATAACAAAAAACTTTGTCCTTTGCTACCATTTGAAAAAATAAGAAGATTAAAATATATATATCCTTAATAGCATCTGATTAGATAGTCCAAAGAAAATCTTTGATCATTAAATAAGCAATTATTTCAGTTTCGAAGGATATATAGAATCCATTCGATACGATGAAATTTATATGATAATTAACACATTTGTAATATCAATAATGTATATACTGCTGAGAAATGACATTGAGAAAAAGATAAAAGCGAAAGAAATGTTAACATTGATTTATGACAAACAAATGCATTCTAGCGCGGTTTTACGTAATCAGATAGCAGATACACATATGTTCACAATGATCATAATGCAGATTTATACTTGTAAAAGAATCTAGATCAAACTAATTTCTTCATATCATCTTTCTGTTTATATAAAAATAACATATGTCCATGAAATTATCTCGGTCAAAACGTAGATTAGGATGAAAAAGAAATTCTTATTATATCAACAACATACGCATATAGTAAAGTTTCACAATTAATACATTCAATAAAATATAGGCAAAGAAAATGAACAATTGAATTATGATTCTCACTGTCAATGTAAAATATAAATATGTTTACTATTCAAAAAATATACATATATAAATAAATTATCACTTTTTATATAGAAATAGAATGATAATAAATCATTCGAGAACATCTCTGTGTTGTTACTTTTTATTTGAATGATTACTTTTTCTCACCTTTGATATAGAATACTAGGTGTACATCTGTACTGAGTTAATATGTTGCATAACTCAATAATACAAAACAGGAGAATTTTACATACGAATTGATTATATTCAGCTGCCAGTAGGAGTTAAATAATGAAATCATTGTTCTAATCCAATTGTATCCTAATTATATGCATGAAACTAAACAAAAGAAACGAAACGGGTGTGGGTCTCTTCTCTTAGCTCACACCCTCTGTCAATTTCCGATGTTTTCCTACCGGATCACACCCATACTTTTCGACATGGTCTGAATTGGTAGGTGGTTATCTTTTTAAATGTCAAAATTCATCATCATCCGTTTTCTTTGACTTAACTTTGAAATTTTTACATTAATCATATATTTTTATATTTCGCAGGATTATTTAGATAAAATTATAAGAGCATAAATAAATAGTTAAAACATGACATAAAATGAACTTAAGCAAAACAAGAAAAAAAAATAAGCTGATATATTAATCAATGATAGAATGATTTTACTACATAGTTTAATTGAAAAATATGTCAGAAAATCATTTTATTATTATTAATGTAAATAATATGCAAGACAACATTGACTGAAAAGTGAAGTAAAACAGTCAAAGATTCACCAGCCATTCTATCATATCTCTCCATTGTTGATCTTACCACATTTTTTTCGTATAAACGGAATGATTACATCTACAATAATCTTCATGAATATTGGTACAATAAATCTATAGACTTTTGTTAACCCTCCAATCAATCCTATAGTTGTTGTTATAATATAAATGATATTTCCACGACTAATATATGTTGCTGTACAAACTGATGGTTGACATATATTAAAATAATTATCATAAGATGTTTGATTATTCCATTCTTCAACCATTAAATTTGAAACAATTTCTAACAAAGAACTTTTTTCTTGATAATAATTTGCTGTTAAATTCAAAATAATATCCGATGCACTGATATTGACTAAAGATAAACTATTGATCAACTGTTGTAAACAATCAATATCGTAGAAACATCTTAGATCACTTTGTAAAACTGCTTCAACAAGATAACATCCAATAAATATACCTGAAAATAATGAAATATATATACTATTATTTTTTTCTTCAAGACATAATATTCACGTAATCGAGAGAAAGACTATAATTTCTAAAGATTTGATCAATATAGTTTTTTTTTGAAATTATTTCTGTAAAATGAATAAAGAAAATATCTGAATAAATCATATATTTATATAAAACTGGTCTCCATTTATTACACTAGAAAGTATATATTTGCCAAGTTTGCCCTGTGAAAATTTTGGAAATCAGGAAGTTTTCTGAGAAAACCTAAAGTGAGGAGAAAGAAAATAGAGAAAAGATCTTCATGTGTCGTTTTCCAGCAACCACATAGGCAAATGTTGCTTGTCACGATATTGATGATAATGAGCAAAAGCAGAAAAAAACAACAACAACAATTTTTTCAATCATATTTATATGCTCTCAAATCTATTTTCTTTTAAATTTATACAAACATAGACATAGAAAGAACTTTACCTGGTGGAGAAAACAGTTGTGTTGTTGTATCTAAATCATAAACAATTGCTTGTTGAATACACCATGGTGTACTTTGACAATCACAATCAATTCCACTTTCATTTGAATTATATATTTGATCTGTTCGATCATAAATATATTCATATTGAGCAACTGAATCCGTATAATAATCATATAATGGAGATGCTGATGAAAACAATGAATCTGATTGAAATGCAGAAACTAACATATTTGCTGCAGTCATATTTTCCGCAAAAAAGAGTGAGTCAATGAATGAACGAGCTGTATTTCTTATAAATTGATCAACTAATTGATTTATTTGAGTTTGAAATTGTTCAAATGTGATTAAATTTAATGTAATAAATCTACTTGAATTAAATGTTGTTAATTCTGCTTTCGTTGTTTTAGATGATAAACTACAAAATGAATTTAGGAGTTGGAAAAATGGACTTCCAATTTGTCGAAAATCATCTTTTCGAGTAGAATACCCTGGTAGTCCATAGGTATCTTTTGGCATTGTTTGCGGATAATCAATTATAAGCCATTGTGAAGTTTCATCAACAAATGTACTTGAACAAATTGAATGTAAATGAGGTTGAAATGTAATAAATTCTTCATATGTAATTGAATATGTTTCACATGGACATTGAACAGTATTTGGATATTCTTGATGAAGTGTATTAAAGTCAATGGCTGTTGGATTATTCTTAATAATCGTATGTGTAATATTTTCAAAAGAAATATAAAATACTAAAATAAGTAAAGTAATTAGAGTAATCATGAGAAAGAAACGTGTTGAAAAACGTTGTTGTTGTAATTGTTCTTCAGTTCTTTTGTTTCGGTTTTTAAATAAATTAAATGTTAAAACATTTATTTTTAATTTCTGTCCTATTGTTATTGCTTGCATATCTAAAAAAACATACAAACAATTAACCATTGTTCATTTGAAAACATAAATATTTCTTAATTTCAGTGTTTAAAAATGGGCAATATGAATTGTGACATCTCTTATTTTGCATATATTTCGACATGAGAAAATGACAACATGTTGATTATTTTTTGGAAAGATGTGCCATGAAAAGATGTACTAAAACCACATAGAAAACTTCTTCACTTATTCTGATGGCTTTCCCATGCTTACTATGAACGATCTATATAATAATAATACTTTGCCTCATCGTAATAAGAATATTTACAAAAAAATTTCATGTACAGTAAGAATTTTTTATAGCGCATCTTTTCAAAAAAAATCAACATTCTGTCATTTTCTTTTGTTGAAATATATGCAAAATAAGAGATGTCGCAAAACTTTCTAGACACTCGATTCAAAACGGCCGC